AATTAGTGAGTGTCTCCAGAAATTAGTGAGCGGGCCAGAAATTAATGAGCCCAGACAATAATCAGCCCTAGAAATAAATGAACGGGCCAGAAATTGATGAGCCCGGGAATTGATGAGCCCAGACAATAATGAGCGGGCCAGAAATTAATCACCGGCCCTAGAAATTCATACCCAAAATTCAATGAGCGGGCCATGAATTAGTGAGCGTCCCCAGAAATTAGTGAGCGTCCCCAGAAATTAGTGAGCGCCCCAGACAATAATGAGCCCAGACAATACTGAGCGGCCCACAACTTAATCACCGGCGCCAGAAATCAATGAGCCCAAATAATGAGCCCTGGAAATAAATGAACGGCGCAGAAATTGATGGGCCCAGAAATTAATGAGTGGCGCCATAAATTAATGCGCGGGCCTAGAAATTAGAGGGCCCCGACAATAATAAGCCCAGACAGTAATCAACCCTGGAAATTAATGAGCGGGCCAAATATTGAGGAGCCCGGGAATTGATGAGCGTCCCCAGAAATTAGTGAGCGGGCCAGACAATAATGAGCCCAGACAATAATCAGCCCTAGAAATAAATGAACGGGCCAAAAATTGATGAGCCCGGGAATTGATGAGCAGCCCAGAAATTAATCACCGGCCCTAGAAATCAATGAGCCCAAATAATGAGCCCTGGAAATAAATGAACGGCGCAGAAATTGATGGGCCCAGAAATCAATGAGTGGCTCCATAAATTAATGCGCGGGCCTAGAAATTTATGGGCCCGACAACAATGAGCGGGCCACAACATGTCCGTGATGAACGGGCCCCACAAGGAAGACCAAGAAAAAAAAGTCTCCTTCCGCAACCAGGATTTGCAGGCCAGCGGCTGATGTCCTGGCCGGCCAGTTCCAAGCCCGGAAGATGAAAAAGGGTTGTGGTTTTGGAATGCTTCGCGTGGCGTGGCACCAGCAGCGCGGTCGCGGGGCCACCTTGGCCGCGTCTGGGCTGTCGTGCTTCTTTCGGCCCGGGCACCACGGGTCTGCCTTTTGCCCTCCCTTCTCTTCGTTGTTCTCTTTGTTGTTCTCTTCTTTGTTCTCTTCTTTGTTCTCTTCGTTGTTCTCTTTTTTGTTCTCTTCTCTGTTCCATTCTTCCATCGTTCTGGTGTTCATTTTTTCCTTCTTTTTCCATGCTCTCGTCCTTCCCTTTTTTAATTTTTCTCTGTTCCTTGTCTCCCCGTTATCGTCTTTCTGCCTTTCTTCTCCCTCTTGGTCTGACCGGTGGGAGCGCGCACCCAGGCCCGGCCCGAATCGACAGGCCAAAGACCAGCAGCGCCCAAGGCGGGGGAACGGCCAGGATAACACCATGGAAAAAAAAACACAAACCAGCCGAAACAAAAATAAAAAGGACTAAAGGAAGCTTTGCTTGTCGCCTGCATCTCCCCTCGCCCTCCGCTTTCTCTCTTCTTTCTTCTTGCCTTCTTTTTTGTTCCCCTCCTCGCTCCTCGCCCTGGCCCTCTCTCTTCGCTCCTCGCCCTGGCCCTCGCCAGGCCCGCACTCGCACCCGTGCACCAGCCCTCGGCCCCATCTCAGGCGCGAGCCCTCACCGATCCACAAGACCCCAAACCACCCCTCCGCCGGCCGCCCACATGTCCTTCAGAAAGAGAAACGAGCCGCTCCTGGGCCCCCGCGGCCCTCCCGGCGCAGCGCCCCACGCGCCCCTCTTCCCGCGCGCCCCGGTGAATCGCGCGCCGCCCGGCGCCCGGCCCCCGGTTCCGGGCCCCTCCATTGGCAGGCCCCCCGCCGCCACGGAAGCGCCCCCCTCACCGGCGGCCCCCCCGCGGCAGGCCCGGGCCGCCGGGCGCATTGCCAGCCAGCACACACGGCGCAGGTCCCGCCGGGCCGGGCGTGCGGCCCTCGTCCGTGTCCTCGCAGCCCACGGTGTCCTCCGGGTGCGCCGACTTGGACCGGCTCTTGGGCCACCAGGGCCTCCCGCTCTCGAGCTCGCTTTTGGTGGAGGAGTCCGGCGCCACGGACTTTGCGGCCGTGCTCATGCGCGCGTTCGTGGCGCAGGGCGTGGTGCACCACCGCGCGGCGTCAGGCTCGCCCGGCTGCCACGTCGTGGTGGTGGGGCCGCCGGCCGACTGGGCCAAGGACCTCCCCGGCGAGTACCGCGGCTCGGCCAAGGACCAGAAAAAGGCGCGGCTCGCGCGCGACGCGTCGCAGGTCAGCGTGGCCAACTTGGCCGAGCGCGACTTGAAGATCGCCTGGCGCTACGGGCTCTCCACGAACGCCGCGGGCGCGGCCGCGGGCGGCGCCGCACGGCTGCCGGACGCCACGGGCCCGGCCGGCTACGTCTCGCAGTTCGACATCACGCAGCGCTTGGTGCCGGGCGCCGGCGCCCAGGAGATCACGTTCGTGCCCGTGCACACGGACTTCGCGCAGGTGGCGGCGGCAGTGGCACAGGTCACGCGCCGCCACACGCGGCAGGGCAAGGTGGTGCGCATCGCCGTGCCAGGGTTCCTCAGCCCGGCGCTCTACCCGCCGCAGTGCAGCCGGCCCACGTACGTGGTGCCCTTGGTGCACCTGCTCCGCGGGCTTTTGGCGGCCGAGCCGGCCGCGGTGCTCATGATGACGCTCGCGCTCGACTTGTACCCGCGGGCCGGGCTCGTCGCCCACATGGTCGAGACGCTCGTGGACGGCGTGGTGCACTTGCAGCCGTTCAATCCGGACATGGCCGCGTTGATCGAGCGCGCGTACAAGAACGAGCCGGCCAAGATCCAGCACGGCTTGGTCCACGTGGTGAAGGTGCCGTGGCTCTCGGCGCGGGGCATGATGATGGAGGCCGCGGGCGAGTATGCGTTCAAGAACGGGCGCAAGAAGTTTGAGATCGACGACTGGGGGATCCCGGTGGACGACGCCGCGGAGCCGGCCGCGACGACGCAGAACGTCGACTTCTAGGCGCGTGCGGCGGGCGGGTGTGCTGGCTTGAGGGCGGCGATTTGGGGGAAGAGCTCTAGGGTTAGGGGATGCCGCAGCTTTCGCTCGGCAGTTTTCATTCAGCAGCTTTCGCTCGGCAGCTTTCGCTCGGCAGCTTTCACTCGGCAGTTTTCACTCGGCAGGTTTCATTCAGCAGTTTTCACTCAGCAGCTTTCGCTCGGCAGTTTTCATTCAGCAGCTTTCGCTCGGCAGCTTTCGCTCGGCAGTTTTCACTCGGCAGCTTTCGCTCGGCAGGTTTCATTCAGCAGGTTTCATTCAGCAGTTTTCACTCAGCAGCTTTCGCTCGGCAGTTTTCATTCAGCAGCTTTCGCTCGGCAGCTTTCGCTCGGCAGTTTTCACTCAGCAGCTTTCGCTCGGCAGCTTTCACTCGGCAGGTTTCATTCAGCAGTTTTCATTCAGCAGCTTTCGCTCGGCAGTTTTCATTCAGCAGCTTTCGCTCGGCAGTTTTCACTCGGCAGCTTTCGCTCGGCAGTTTTGAAAATTGGGCGGTTTCACAATTCGGCAGTTTTATGATTCTGCAGTTCTCATGACTCTGCGGTTTCCATGACCTCGCAGTTCTCATGTTTTGTTGTTTTGGAAATTGGGCATCTCATGATACGACAGTCTCTATCATTCCGTAGTTGGCATGATTCCGCGGTTTCCATGATGCTGCAGCTTTCATGGTTCCGGAACTTCCATGATTCCCCAGTTTTCGTTCGGCGGTTTTGGAGCCTGGGGGTTGCATGATTCGGCAGTTTCCATGATTCTGGAGTTGGGAATTGGGAAGCTTCATGATTCGGCAGTTTTCGTGATTCTGGAGTTGGGAGTTGGGAAGCTTCATGATTCGGCAGTTGGCATGATTCGGCAGTTTCAATGGTTTTGCTGTTCTGAAAATCGCGCAGTTTAATGACTCCGCAGTTTCTATGACTCCGAAGTTCTCATGATTCGGCTGGTTTGGAAATTTGGCAGTTTCATGACCCCGCAGTTTCCACTATTCGACAGTTCTGGAAATTGGGCGGTCTAACGATTCTGCAGTTTCCATGACTCCGCAGTTTCCCTGACCTCGCAGTTCTCATGTTTTGGTTGTCTTGAGAATTAGGCAGATTCATGATTCGGCAGTTGGCATGATTCGGCAGTTTCTATGATTCTGGGGTTTCCATGATTCTGGAGTTTTCATGACTCCATAGTTTCCATGAATCGGCAGTTTTCATGATTTCGCTGTTTTGGAAATCGCGCAGTTTATTGACTCCGCAGTTTCTATGACTCCGAAGTTCTCATGATTTGGCTGGTTTGGAAATTTGGCAGTTTCATGATACGGCAATTTCATGATCTGACAGTTTCCATGACTCCGCAGTTCTCATGATTTGGTTGTCTTGGAGATTTGGCAGTTCATGATGCAGGTTGGGGAATTCTTCACTCTTCATCATTTTGCAGTCGCAGATTCTCCAGTTCGCATGATGCTGCCGCTCTCATGATTTCGCACGTTTCATGATTCATGACGCTGCAGTTTGTTGCAGTTCCCGGATTCATTTCGCAGTTTCCTGGACCCTGCTGTTCCCATGGATTGGTTGCCCCCGGGGCCTCTGCATTTGAGCTTGGCTCTTCGGACTCTACATCCGGATCTTCTCCACTTCCAGGCAGCCTTCGTCAAGTCACTCCTGTCTCCAGATTCCAAGTGCCGCCAGACTCCGTGCTTGATTGCCGGGATTCCAAATGCCACATCCCACATCCCCTCCTTTCCCCACGCTTACTCCATCTCACCTGTTCAGAATACCGACATGTGGCTTCCAAAAATACCCCTCCTCACTCAGGTTCCCCTGAACAACCAATGGGCGACTCGTGTCCCCAGCAGCCTGACCGAGTCCCTTCCCCCGACCTGCTATGTTTCCTCAGACTGTTTTTCAAGCTTCCTCACCGATTGCTTCAACTGCAGAATCTCGGCCAAAATCGCCTGCTGTGTGTTTTTGATGTCGCGCAACGCCACGGCCGTCGCCGAAAGTGTGTTTGAGATTCGGTCTAGCGAATCCGCTACGATCTGCGGCGACGTGGGTATCCTTGCGTCTTCCAAGGGCATCTGCAGATCTGCAATAGCGAATCTGGCCCTTTTCCTGTTCTTTTCAGGGGAAGCCAGACCCGGGACCGCCGGACCAGGCCCTTGGCCGTGTGAAATGGTTCTTTTGTTCGACAAGTCATGTTTCGAATCCAACAAACCCAGTGGTCCCAGGTGGGGAAGCTTCAGCTCGAGCTCCTTTATCCGCAACCTTCGCTCCGGCGATCCCGACCGGCGCACTGGCAGCACCCCCAAGGAAATGGCCGGCAAAATCGACTTCCTGGTGGACGCCCCAGACAACGAATTGTGATTATCGGTCGGGCACAGCGGTTTTTGTTGTAGGACGGGCGAGTCCGCGAGAATTGGAGCGGGGGCTTTTCTGGAGCCCCCCGGAGAGACTTTGCTTTGCGCCCGCAGCTTGTCGCTATGGCTGGCGTTGTTTGGGGGCAGATCCACAACCATCATACGGTGCCTTATTAGCCTTAATGGGCCTCCTGATCTGCTTGGAGCCGTGTTGTAAGGCCTGTATTGTGTGCAGGACGACGCGCATGCCTCTGCCTGACGGAGGCAGGACTGTAAGATCCTTGCTGGTTCCTTATGCTGTGAAATTGGATGAGATCAGAAGCCGGGTCTCTTTGAAAAGATGCTTGATATAGCTGGAATTGCACAAGCTGCGTCTTTCACGTGACATCGCATTTGCTTGTATACTGAGTCTCGTGCCACCCCGATGTGCTGTACTTAAATGGCATATTTGAACATTTGATGTATGTTGTGTTCAATATTGTTTCCAGATACATTTCGGATGGCCATGAGAGATTTCCAACTCATTTATGCCAGCCGATAATGTGGAGCCACCTCCTGGAATTCCCATCTGCCCAAAGTATCTTGAAATATATGTTTCATCTTGCAACGAAGTCTTCTGCACTCTGCATCAAACCTGATTTTTGCCTGAAAAATCTCGATAAAGTATGCATAGATTATCAAGCGGTCTTAGTTTCTTTCTCCCGAGGTAATTTTCATACTCAATCTTTGGAAACAATCTTAATGTTTCTTAAAATAAAACTTCTGCATTTCTCTTAGAGTCTCTAGATATTTAAAACAGTTTTTTGAATGTGATCTGCCAACAAATCTTCTTACTGTCTCTTCCTACTGTATCTCACTCGTAAACCCACAATCCTTTCATGACATCTTCTTACTATCTTTTGAGATTCGTTTCACTATATTCTCAATAAATCCTGTTTCCATCTCATTCACTCATCTCCAGAAATTCCCCTACTGTATCTCTGCCATATGGCTCCAGCTCTCTCACTGAATATACCCCAGAAATCTTCTCGCCATGTATTTCAACAAAGCTTCGTACTTTATCTTACCCAAAGATTTTCTTACTCAATGCCCGAAAATTCCCTTACAAAACATTTCAAGATATTTTTGTAATGTTTTTTAAAGCGTTGTGCTATATTTCTCCGATCGATTTTCATACTCTGTTCCCAAAATTCCTTTCATTCTCTTCAAACAACACTTCGTTCTACATGCCTCCAACATGTTCTTACTTTGTTGATGCCACAAACCTTCTTCCTATATAAATGCCAACACCATTCTCAGTATATCTTTCTAAAAATCCTTATACCACATCTCTTTGACAATTTCCCTAGCTGCATTGTGCCACCAAACCTCTCATTGCACCTCTCCAATAAATCTTCCAAGTGCCTCTTCTGATGGCATTCATAAGCTTCTGACCAAATTCTACCGGCCGGCCCCAAACCCTCGCCATAAATTATTCAATACAAAAAAATTGAAAAAATCAAACACAAACCTTGCTACCCCTCCTCTTCCTCTTCCCTATGTTAGAGATATCTGACATGTTGCTGGCATGGGACTGCATGTTGTAAGCATGGCCCATGCAGTACTGAAACATTTTATCATAGGAGCAAGAGAGTTTTCTTGATCCTTGCAAACTCCACCTATATTCATACAGATACCTCTATTATCATCAATACTATACGGCAAAACCGCCTGCCCCTCCATTTCGCAGCCACGCTCGCACCAGACCCGATGTCCTGCACACAGATATGCGGTTTTTCCCAATCGAGAACTGTAATTACGCGTCCGCGCGACAGAAAAAAAAAACCCTAGATCCTTCCTCCGTACTCCTTACTTTTCTTCTTCCTCCTTCTTCTTTTCTTCTTCCACACGCAATTCCCCACACATTGCAAAACCGCTCCCAGCTACTGCCGCGCCAGTGATCTTGTCTTTCCAGAATCACCACCCCATTTTTTTTTCTGGTTTTGCGCCCTCTGTTTGCGTTCAAAGGAACACGTGCTAGCCGCCCAAAACCCAGCGTTAGCCGCCGACCCGCCAGCGTCTGAACGGCCAAGCCACACACAAAAAAAAACACGCCAAGACACCAGCGACCACCACACGCCATGTCGCTGTCCCCGGTCCGAAGCCTGGCGCAAAACACCGGTCCCGGCGACTCGCCGCTGTCACCTTCGCAGTCACAGTCTCAGTCACAGTCACAATCACAGTCACAAACACAGCCCACCGTGCCCTCGTCGCCGCTTCTTTTTTTGTCCAGCTCGCTGAACCCGGGCTCCGACATGCGCCCGTCCTCGCAGCGCCGTGAGGTGTCGTCGCCGCTCCACTACACGTCGCTGAGCCGCCACCCAACGTCAGACTTGGCGCGCCAGCGGTCGGACGGCGTGGTTTCGGGCGTGGACCGCATCGTGCGGCGCCCCGTTCGCTCGGACTTGAACGCGGACGCGCTGTCCTCGCCGCGGCGCAGGCGCATGTTCGACGACCGCCACCCGTCGTCGTCCCTTGGCGCGGGCGACCCGCTGCTGGACAGCTCGCAGCCACAGCTGGACATGTACGGCCTGGACGAGCCCGTGCGCGTCATCTGGGGCACCAACGTGTCGATCCAGGATTGCAGCAACGCGTTCCGCGACTTCTTGATGCTGTTCAAGATGAAGTACCGCCGCATCCTCGACAACCAGCCTGTGGAGCCCGAGGACCTGGAGCTCTACTACGTGGGCCAGTTGAACGCCATGAAGGACTTGGGCACCACAAACTTGAACTTGGACGCGGCCAACTTGCTTGCCTACGCGGCCACCAAGAAGTTGTACTACCAGCTCATTAACTACCCGCAGGAGGTGATCCCCATCATGGACCAGACAGTAAAGGACTGCCTCGTGTCGCTCTTCTCGGATCCGGCCGCGGTGCCCGCGTCCATCGACGACATCGAGACCAACATCTACACCATCCGTCCGCACAACATCAATGCCGTGCGCAGGGGCATGCGCGAGTTGAATCCGAACGACATCGACAAGTTGGTCAGCGTCAAGGGCCTTGTGTTGCGCGCCAGCGCCATTGTCCCGGACATGAAACAGGCGCTATTCAAGTGCAGCGCCTGCGACCACACAGTCGCCGTGGAAATCGACCGCGGAATCATCTCCGAGCCCACCAAGTGCCCACGCTTGGTGTGCTCGCAAAAGAACACCATGAGCATCATCCACAACCGCTCGTCCTTTGCTGACAAGCAGGTGATTAAATTGCAGGAGACGCCGGACTTGGTTCCGGACGGACAGACCCCCCACTCGATCAACTTGTGTGTATACGACGAGTTAGTCGATACGTGCAGGGCGGGAGACAGGATCGAGGTGTGCGGAATCTTCCGGTCCTTGCCAGTGAGAGTCAATTCCCGCCAGCGGGCGTTGAAAAACTTGTACAAGACTTACTTGGACGTCGTCCACATCAAGAAAATCGATGCCAAACGGCTCGCAGCTGATGCTTCTACCGTCCAGCAGCAGGCTACTGAGACCCAGGAGGTCGAGCAAATGCGTAAATTGACTGCAGATGACGTTGCCCGAGTGAAGGAAATCTCACAGAGAGACGACTTGTATGAGTTGTTGGCTCGCTCGTTGGCCCCATCTATCTATGAGATGGACGACGTGAAAAAGGGCATCTTACTTCAGTTGTTTGGTGGAACCAACAAGCAGTTTCGCAAAGGCGGTCGCTACAGGGGTGACGTAAACATCTTGCTTTGTGGAGATCCCTCCACGTCGAAGTCGCAGATATTACAGTATGTGCACAAGATAGCACCCAGAGGTATTTATACTTCCGGTAAAGGTTCTTCTGCCGTTGGTTTGACGGCGTATATCACGCGAGATGTCGACACAAAGCAGCTCGTCTTGGAGTCTGGTGCATTGGTTCTTTCCGATGGCGGCATTTGTTGTATCGATGAATTTGACAAGATGAGTGACACAACGAGATCGGTCTTGCACGAAGTGATGGAACAGCAAACAATCTCCATCGCCAAAGCTGGTATCATCACCACTCTCAACGCCAGAACTTCGATCTTGGCATCTGCAAATCCAATCAATTCTCGTTACGACCCCAACTTGCCCGTGACCTCCAATATTGACTTGCCTCCTCCATTATTATCTCGTTTTGACCTCGTGTACTTGATTCTCGATCGTGTCAATGAGTCCATGGATCGCCAATTGGCCAGCCACATTACCGATATGTACTTAGAAGATGTGCCCAATTCCGTGTCTGCGCACCTGATTTTGCCAGTTAATGATTTGAGCACATACATCCAATATGCAAAGGAGAATTGCAACCCGGTGATCACAAACGAGAGCAAGAATGAGTTAGTGAGAGCTTACGTGGAAATGAGAAACCTCGGAGACGATTTGCGGTCTTCCGAAAAAAGAATCACCGCGACTACGAGACAGCTAGAGTCCATGATTCGGTTGTCAGAAGCACATGCGAAAATGCGTTTGAGTCCTCATGTCGAGCTCATTGACGTAAAGGAAGCCGTGCGCTTGATCAAGTCTGCGATCAAGGACTACGCCACAGACCCAAAGACGGGTAGAATCGACATGGACATTGTACAAACCGGTACCACTGCAGCTCAAAGAAGAATGCGCGAGGCTTTGGATGTCGAAGTTCTTGCTGTGCTCGAGGGTGTTAATGGAAAGAGATTCAACGAATTGGCCACTGCCGTAAACGAGAAGCTGAGTATCAGAGTGGAAAATCTGGAGCTTCTCGAAAGCTTGCGCAGATTAAGTGAAGAAGGCAAGATTCAAGAGACCGGTGAGTCCCATCGGAAGTCCTACAAAAAGGTGGCCTTTGTTTAGTCCACTTAATAAAACGTTAACTTGCGCTACATATTGTATCATACTTATATTCTATTATCATAACTTATCATATCCTCAGTCTATTGCATGTCGTGCCTCACAAATGATCTATAAGGCAAATCATACCAAAGTTTGGGGGTTTAAAGGAAGTCGGAACTTTTCCTTGATTGGGGTTCCGTTGTCTCAGAAGCCGGTAGATGATGCGAAACATCGGGCTCTTCGGCATCGATGGGAAGCGAATCCTCTTCGGCCATGTTCAAAAAGGATTCAAATTGGTCGTCTAGTTGAACATCAGTCACGGAATTATACATGTTTCTTGTCAAGGAGTTGGCGAGTTTGAGCTCAGCGGCAACGTCCACGGGCTGTCTCAGACGAATTTTTTCGGTGGCGCTTTTGAGGACGCCGAACCTTGCATCGTATGCTGTCCGTAGCGAATCGATAGCTTTTCTATTCTTGGTCGCCTCCACAACAGCCGAACCCAACACTAAAGTTAGGAAAAGTGACTTGAATACCGGGGTGTAAAAGAGCTCCCTCACCGAAGAGCCCTTCTTTACCTTCACAGTAGAGTACACCGTAGAGTAGAGTCTGCGTGTAACAATGGGGCGTAACATTTGTAATATTTTGGATTCTTGACGGGGTATTGGAGAAGCGGTTTGAAATCTGCGGTAGGTTCAATAATTGGTTTGCGCACGACCAGCGGGACCATCAGAAGGCCCTAAGCAAAATAATAGCTTGACAGAAAATTTTTGGCCAAGCGTTATTAGGCTTCCTCGTTGAAATGAAATGCCTGTTTCCGGTAACGAGGTTGCCTCAAGAATCAAATTAGTGACATTAGGCATTCACAATTTTCACGAGACTAGAACACCAATTGACCGCCTCAGGCATGATCGCCCGGCAAAGGAAGAAAAAGTCTTTGTAAACCTTCAAAGAGGCAGATTTTTAAGAAAGTCTTGTTCGGTAAAGGGGCGCCTAACGGAGGCTATTCGCAGTATAGAACAAACCTCGGCACATCACACCGACACCAAAATTAAAGAGTCTCGACGTTGGCTCTGTAGACAGCGTCAATCATTCCTCATTCACGAGATCAACTGAAAGAAACCAAGTGGGCACAACAAAACTGTACCAAAGTTTCAAGTTGCTCGCGTTTCAATGCCATCCTAGTTCCTGAGCTTTGAAGCACAAACGGCCATGTCACTCGGTGAAAATTTATAAGAGGATATTCACCTAGGCCGTAGGAGGCCCCGTGGGTGAGTTCAGAATGCCTGATCCACGGAGAATGCGCGTTTTCGAGACCTTTTAAAGAACGCGGCTGTCTGAATGCAGCCCTTCACGCAACAGCCTCCAGAGCATAGCGCTTGACACGGGCCAAAACCAAGTCATCTCGGGAGTACCATTGCTGTGAAGCGTCCGTGTCAGCATACCGGATTGTGAGAGAGTCAGCAAGTAACGAAATCTGCACGGCGTTCCCAAGCCCCACCCACTCCCGCATGGCCATGATATACCAGAAGCCACTCTTGCGAAAGCGCGTGAGGCCCTTGATGGCATTGTCGTTGTGTGGCACAAGCTTGACGGAGTTCATGTAGTGGCCTTCAGCGGGCGGTGAGCGAGGGCGTGGCACCACGCCGCGGTCGAAGATGTCGGCGATGATGTGGGTGCCTCCTGCGGGGACAAAGAAGCAGTGCTGCTTGGCAAAGCCCATTCGCTCGTAGAGGACGGCGCGCGTGGCATGGGCGGCAGCGCCCAGCGCAGCCAAGTGCGCGGCAAGCTCGAGCTCGGCCTTCAGGAAGCACTCGTCAATGAGGTCGCTCCACCACCAGGGAATGTTGAACATCATGCTCATGGCAAGGAGCAACTCGGCCACCACCAAATGCGCGCGCACCGCATACGTCTTGACGTTGAGCCGCAGCTTGTACGTGTAGGACAAGTTGTCCATGTAGGGCTCGACAATGTCGTGGCGGATCTTGCGGAGCGTGTTCTTGTCGGGCTTGGCGGGCGGCGTGTCTGACGCCACGGGCTGGGTCTGCGCGAGCAAGAGCGACACGATGCACATCTCCTGGCAGGCAGCCACGTATGCCCACGCCTTGTCGTTGGTGTAGTCCCTGCGGAGCATGTCGTAGGTGGAGTACGCGTAGCGGAAGTCCTTGAGCATGAGCGCCCAGTCCGCGAGCTTGCGGAGAATCTGCTCGGGCGCCAGACGCGGGTAGAACCCGCCCGTGGCATTGTAAGCGCCCAGCAGCGACGCGTGTGGCGGTCCGTCGCTGCTGGTGAATAACTTGCGGGACACGGAGAAGAAGCGGCCCGCGAGCGACTTGCGCGGCGCCAACACGGCATCGTCCCACACGCGCACGCGGCGCTCCATGTGCGGGATCAAACAGCGGGCCACAAAGTCGAACACCTTGGCGCGGAGCGCAGCGTCGAGCAGCGCGGGCACTCGCATCCCCGCGGGCTCCGGGCGGGCCTGCTGGAGCGCCCTGCTCTGGGCCTCCTGGTCGATGGTGGCGCCGTCGAGCTCGGGCATGAGCACCGCGTCGGTGGCGCCCGGTGCCGGTGCCGGCACCGGCACGGCTGTGGCCGCAAGCTGGAGCTCGGCCTGGACCGCGGCCTGGAACTGCTGGATGTCCGAGGCAGCGTGCGCGGCCGGGTCGTAAAGCACAAACACGTGCACCAAGACGTCCGCGGTCTGCACGTACCGCGGCGCTGGGAGGTTGCGGAACGCCACGACCAAGCGGCGCACCGCGTCCACGGAGTCTGTGCCCAAGTGCACCACGAACACGTGGGCAACAGGGTGATTGAGCGTGTCGAAAGGCACCACGCGGTTGCACGTGACGACGCGGCGGAACAAGCCCGGGTAGAGCGGGCCGGCGGGCCGGGCCGCGGCCGCGGCCTGCGTGAGCAGCTCGAGCGCCGAGATGCTGAAGAGCGGCGCGGGCCTGTCGTCGGCCGGCGGGTGCACGGCTAAGAGCTCGGCTAACGGCGGCTGGAAACGCACGGGGAACAGCGCGTAGCTGCGCGTGACAAGCTGCGTGTTTGTGACGCGGTACGTCTGGCTGGCCAAGCCGAAGCGCGCCGTGTCGCCGTACGCCTGGAGCACCAGAAGCGCCGAGACCAGGGCTTTGTGGCACAGCGCCTGGAGCGCCCGGTCGGCCCCGGGCGTGGCCTGCACAGACACGAGCGGCAGGTACGCATGCAGGAGCAAGAGCTGCCGCACGCCGGGGAGCTCGGCGCTGCTGGCGGACATTTTGTGCGGCTGGTTTTCGGGTGGTTGCTGGTGGTTTTGGGTGCGGCGGTTAGGGAAAGAAGAAGTAGTAGGTTTGTGTTTGTGGCTGGCGGGCCGCGCGGCGCGCGTCGTGGGGCGGGAGGTACGGGTGTATTTGGGGGGCGGCGGGTGGATTTGGTGGATACATATTTGTGGATGCAAATTTGATGCGTGCAAAATTGGTAGATGGAATTTTGGTACAAGGAATTTTGGCAGACGAAAGAATTGATGGATGCGAAATTGGTGGATGGAAGAATTGGTAAATGGAAGAATTGGTAGATGGAAGAATTGGTAGATAAGATTTTGGTAGATGGAAGATTTGGTAGATGGAAGAATAGGTAGATAGAAAATTTGGTAGATGGGATTTTGGCAGAAGGAACATTGAGTAGATGGAAGTTTGGATGTAGAATCTGGCAGATGGCAAATTTGTAGCATGTCGAATGGGAAAATGCAAATCAAGTGGATGCAAAATTAGAAGATGCCAAACTTGGGGATATCGTCATTTTGGGATGGCGGGAACTTAAAGGGTGGTTTTTGTGGTTGGATTTGCTGGGGTGTCGGTGGCTTATATAGACGCGAGTCTTATTTCAGTGCCACCGGGCTCGAACTTATGATTCGAGAGAAGGACCTAGTGTATGATTTGGGGCGATCTTTGTGTTGCCTAAGGTTTTCTATTTTATAATTTGTTTTATTTTTGTTTTCTTTTTGTTTTGTTTCGTTTCGTTTTTGTTGAAGGGGGCGTTCGAAGACACGTGTCTTAGATTTGTCATTGTTTTGACACTGGCCGTTCTTATGGGTTCAGTTCTGGTTTGGACGTTGGTGGTTTATTACCATGCTCAGGATCGCATTGTGGGGCCACTTGACCTTTACTCGCAGAAAATAATGAAAGGTCTGGGAAATGAGGCATGAGAGTCTTTCACTCAACTTTGGTTTGGAATAGGGTGGCCTCTAAGCAACTTAGTGGTTTGTTATATATTTCTTTTTGGGCCGGCAGTTTGGTGATGATGTATTTATTGACATGGTTTAATACCTTTTCGTATCGCTTTTCGGGGCCGCACCGATCGGCATCAAGTGCTATCTGAGGAAAATATGAATGAGGGCATGGATTTGGTGACTGTTTGAAATGAACTTTTTCTTTCATTGACAAAGTGTCTGATTTTGGGTTTTGTCTTTGGACCTTATTTTGTTTTGAATGCTCTGTTCGAGTGTTGATGAATCCATATAACGTTCCGGGTCCAATTCTCCCAGGCTCTGCGGCAGTGCCATTTCGAACATCCTCAAAATCACAAATCTAAGCTGGTTAATTAGGAGTACCATCTGGAGAAGCATCTTTGGACACTCAAATAATAATGTTTCCTTCAAGGCCTTTTCTTTGCTTTTCGAAATGCTGGCGGTTTTTTGTTCCAGCTGGTATTTAATACTGGTAAGGAACTTTGGGTCCGACTATGACCCAGGCTGTTGCAGCAAAAAAGATCTGATTTCTGACTGGTGGCCCATACGGATTATGCTTTTTTGTTGAATGATGGTTGTTTTGGGAATATCTTATTATTTTGGCTTTGCTCCAATTTCATTACTAGTTATTATGTTTGAGGGCCACTGCTCTAACTCAATGATTGTGATTTCAGGCAAGGTCGAGTATGACTTGGAGTTATATACGAACTGCCTTAATGTTGGGGGTTTTTCTAAAAAGCAAGGCCTGTAAATAGATTCATCGTGGATTGTCCGCTTTTTGTTAAAGGTATTACCCATTTTTATGTAGAATATGTTGAGCTGTTCAAACCCTGGCGGTTACATCCATTTTGTATTTGCGGCTTTCTGGTTATATGTTCGAAATAACCTACGCTATATCAAATGCTGATTTGTGCAAGGCGGCGTTATGGCTTTAAAGAATGAGGCTATTGGAAATTTAAAGGGGGTATTATTTTGAATTTGTACTTCACAATTTACGGTTGCCAAGCACTTTCCTAGATAGGTTAGTATCAAACAGAGTAGGCTACGAACTCGCAAGCCAGCCGAACGAAATCAATATACCAAAAGCAGCTTTCATAGATTGGGAATTTATTAATAAAGGTGTGTACAACTTTCGGCTGCACGCATCCCTCCGGAAGACTTTCTAGCAAGTTGTATTACTTTTTTGACTAAAAGACAAATACAAATAAATCTGACAACAGACTTGGTTTTAAGGCGAGATACATGAGCCGATTTAACTGGCGGTATTTGTTCTTTTTGTCTCGATAGAAAGAATACTTAGGGTTTCAAAAGTCTTGGGTTATTGTGGTTGTTTTTCTCCAATTTTGGAGCTTCCAAAATTCTGCTTTTGATTCAAGTGTTAGTTCTTAATTTTTTGTCTATGAATCTGAGCTGGTAGCTCGAAGGCTTGGTCAGATTGGCACGGGGGTCTCTACGATACCTGCGAGAGCTTGTCTCCCATCGAACAAAGAATGATAATGTCTCGATTGAGTCCTAATACAACAAATAAATTTAGTGGATTTTATCAGCTTGAATTAATATTGCAATACCTTCAAATTTCCCGTTTATGTTTTCCCTGGTGTTGTATGCAACTGCAGACAATTACACCTTCAACGCCGCTCAAAGTATGATGTTTCGGTTGAGAAGATGAGAGACCAGTATTTTCTGATCTCATGCTGCAACAATTTAAAACCAAGCAAATTTCGCGGCTCAGATTCAGCATCTCCAAATGGCTGTCACCTAGTTATGCAGTAAGTAGAGATTTGTGATAATCAAAGTTTCCCTTCAGCGCTCACAGACTTCTAAAACCTGAGTACTTTCCAAATTTTTCTGACATGAGATCAAAAGGATGTTTGACTCAGTTTGGTCTCACCTATTGTTATTTATTTTTTATTCATGTTTCGATAAATCCCACACCGATCTGAAATGGGAACTTGTACTTCCTCACCACTGTTGGCAATGTCGAGCACAATTGAGTATAAGAGAATATTAGGGCACTCCATAAAAGATTTTTGTCAAATTAAACCCAAAATCTTCCCTAAAACCGATTTCAATACCTTGAACGTGCTTCAGTCGAGTCATGAAAAAACACTGGTGGTTCTGAGGCGTGGTGCTGCCAGATTTCAATTGCATATTTCAATTTAATTATGATGAACAAAAAAAAGTTTTATGGGAGGAGATATTATATAGGCTTTTTCTAGGAAATCTCCTTAAAGAAATTTGATAAGAAGGTTTAGCACAAGACAATGCAATGTTGGATACGAGTTATAAGGTTGCTGGAGTTTCCTAGCGGAGAAAATGAAACATCTTAGAGTGGGGCTTGCATTCGATGGGCCAATGGAACGTATATTAGCCGGAAGTGCGTCAAACGATACAGGAGTCTCTTCAAACTTGAACCTTGAAATTCTGCAATGTATAGATCTTGAGCAGTATCTCAAGCCCGGCCAGACTTACATATACAGCTAGAGATGATTTCGTGTTTCCTAAAAAGTCCTTGCGATTTCAGTCAAATAACGGCTTGCGCCATATGATTGTGATGAGTGGACTGGAATTTTTTCTTATTTCTTGGATTTTGTCAGGTCTCTGAATGTGATTTTGCTGGGTTCTATGTACGAGTTTATATTGTTCGGTCTTTCGGCTGTGAGGGTTTGGTGAATTGTGAGGCCCGAGTGCATTTTTCTTTCTTCCTTTTAGCAATTATTTTGACAATGAAGTGAAAGTCATATTCATGACTGATTTCTCAGGTCTAACAACTGGGATTTGACATTAGTAAGGCTATAATGAAAGAAGGTAATGATATGAAGATGGACAATACGCACACAAGTCGGAATTTCAGACCGGGGAAGTTTTTGAGTTAGTCCGCACAGAAAGAACCCCGTTCAAGACGTTTATCTATTTTTCAGCATGCTCGAAGTTTCATGGAACTGAATTGTTCCATGGACCCAGTTTTGAAGCATCTGGAGGAGTTTATTTGATTTGCAACTAGGGCAAGTTGACGATTCCTTCTAGTCATATTTGTATGATTTTCGCACAGCCAAGGTCTTTTCGAAAAGTACGGCTCATACGTTCTGCCCAAATATTATGTGGTTCATACTTTTGAATAGTATTGGTCCACCAATAAAAGAGTGCGACCATGGGGCCCAAAAGTTTTTCCACCAGTGCTCTTCACCCCCTTTCTTCTTGTATATGTTTTCAAAGATCTGAAAGAGACTCGATGGATGAGCTAAATAGATTGAGTCTACTTTTGAGCTGATGGTTTGCTGAAGGGTGTTGAAGATTATCGCAAGTCTTAGTTTGTGGTCCAATGTGGGCACTATTTGAAATCACTCGTTCTGCTTTGTTCCGGTTTATTTTGGCCTCTTTGATTCATTCTAATTTGGTCCAGTCTATTTTGTTCCAGTCTATTTTAGAATATCTACTTTTGCTCATTCTGCTTTGGCCCGTTCTACTTTGGTTGAGTAGTGGAATCGTTCTGCATCCTTTACGTGAGGTGAGTGAGACAATAGCCTCAACCAGAATTCACGAAATTACCTGACGCCTCACTAGTTATGGAGCGCCTCGCCACACAACTGCTACCTCGTACGAAATCCCCTTTTTCAGCCGCAATAAAATTTCTCTACTGGCTAGTCTCTTCACTTGCCACCCGTGCACATTTAAGCGGTGACAAACAGAACACATGACTATTGCAACCCAGGATTGTCCATACGAGGCTCGGCATACTTAGCCATAAGCGGCCCTCGGGTGCAGGCGTTGTATATACGTTTCCGCCCCATTGGGCGCGCGCGGCCCGGCCCACCAGGCTTATGAGCAGCTGGAGATAAGTGCCACCAGTAAAGGAAATGCAATAGATCCGAGAAAAATCCAGCGGCAGGCCTGTGGGATTTTTTTGAAACCCTGTGAATCTCGCCCTGGTCTTTTTTACTGGTTTCAAGGCACAGCCCGATGATTTTCCATGCCCATGCCTTATGCCGTATGGCCCCATGCCTTATGCCGTATGGCCCTAGAGGACCTCGCACTCATAACCTGCCACTAAAAGAACATGCTCAATACAATAACACGCTCAATACAAGAACGCGCTCATTATCAAACGCACAATACAACAATGTATAGCTGCGCTTTTCCTGCGCTGCAGTGCCTCGAGAAGCTCTGACTAATCAGAAGAGAAAATATAGCCACAGATCGCCGCGAAGGGCCCCGCCCAGATCTCGGCACACCCTGTGCCTTATGCTTCGTGCTATTCTTTCTTATCTCTGTGTCTATTTTTACACCGGGCGGGCCTGCGTGGGGCCACTCGCAAGCGGGCCTGCCTGTGCGGCTGATTGTGGGATGGCCCACATCTTGCAGTCGGATCGACAAGTAACAGCGGCAATTGGAGCGATTTTCGCCCGCACGCCTAAATTTGGAATTGACACCCATTCGTTGAGGGCGCCAAATAGGGGCCCAAATACGGGTCCTGGCATGCCGCAGTGAAGCGCCGGAGCCTGCGTCACGTGCCAGGCGCCAGGTGCGGCGAGCGCCAGTGAAACAGCACCAAACAACTGCGCCAAAAAAACAGCGCCATGAAAAACAGCGCCATAAAAAACAGCGCCAAACAACAGCGCCAAAGAAAAACAGCCCCAAAAACAGCCCCAAACAAAAAAGCGACAAACAAAAAAGCACCAACCATGACATGCCACACACAAAACACACAAAGTATACCGTGCCAGAAACACAAGAGCTTCACCTGGAATATCAAACCATCTCACCAAAACCACCAAAACACCTCCAAAATAACCCCAGAATAAACCCAGAATAACCCGAAAAACACCCCCAAAAAGACTCTAAATCACCCCAGAATCACCCTTAAAATCACCTCCAAAAAGACTCTAAATCACCACAGAATCACCCTCAAAATCACCCCCATAACATGCCGCCATAACTTACCACCAAAACCACCAAAACACGACAAGTCACACTTAACATACCACCAAAAAGACTAACAAAACCCCCAGCACCTCCACCCAATGTGTGTCGGCACCCCCGAACTCCTAGCACATACCCGCAGCTTTATGCTAACAAAGATCGGAAGTTCAATCAAACCACCCGAGTTTAACTGGCCCCGTATCCCTAATTGCAGCCATCAGCCCCATATATTTTGCCGCCGCGCCAGCGAGAAATTTGCAGCACGGCCCTCTGGAGTCCAAGCCCCGTGCTGCCTGTTTGGGATATCCTCTGCGCACCGCACTCTATGCAGGCCCGCGCCGCGGCTAGCGGCTCTGCTTCTGCTGGGAGCCCTGGCCCTCCACCTATTCTTCCCGCTGGCCCCACCGGTTTTTTTCCTGGAGCTCCGCTGTGTTTTTCCTGGCGCTCTTCCTGACACTCCCCCCGACACTCGCTTCCCCGCCGCCCCTGCTCCGGCCCTTGCTACCCCGTTTGCTTTTCGCTCTGCCTGTGTCTTCCCGGCCCGCCTTTGGCTACAGACTCCCCGGTCATATATTCCCCTTCCCACTCGCGCTTTTCGCACCTCAGACACTCCCCCTTTATAATGCATTCCACCACACTACTAGGCACCCTACTACGGGCCCAGCTCGTGATGTGCTTTGCGCTCGCGGCCGCCGCGGTGTCGCGCCCGGCAGTGGACTTCGATGCCACCGGCGGCCGCATCGGCCTCTTGGGCGACTTTGACGGCGTCTCCTTCTACAACGCCGAGAACGCCTCGGCCTTTCTCGCCACGGCCCCGGCCAACTCCCTGGCACTTTACTTGCGCAACCTGACCTCGGGTGCCTCGCTGGTCGTCGCCTCCTTAGGCGGCGGCGCCGTGTCCCAGGTGCTGCGGCTCGCGGCGGACGCCGTGCTCGTGCTGGGCTCCTTCTCGTCCGTCAACGGCGACACAATGACTCCGCCCATCATCTTCAACCTCTCGCTGCTGGAGGCCACGCTGCTCCTCGACCTGGCTCTGGGCACTGCCGCGGCCTCGGGCTCCGTGCTCGCCACTCTTGTCGATGGCGACCTCATCTACCTCGGCGGAGACTTGGACTTCAACAGCACCTACGGCGCCGCCATCTACAACCTCGCGTCTGGCCTGCTCGAAACCTTGCCCTTTCTTGGCTTTGGCGAGAACGCCTCCATCAGCGCCATCGCAAAGTACCCGCCCGACGCGGATGACGGCTCCATCATCTTCGGCGGCTCCTTCCACACATTGGGGCTCCCGGAACTTCTCATGCATAACGTTTCTGTCTCTACGGAGGGAACCTCCAACTCGACCAACACAACGCTAATACAGGCCGAGCAGCTCATCTCCTTGAAATACGCCACGTTCCTGAACGTCAACGGCCTTTCTTCGAACGACGACAGCGCTGTCATCTGCCCTGCAACGAGCTCCACTTGGGCTCTCGAGGACGCGAGTGGTGGTGAATGGTCTGCGGAGCTTCCGTTAGAGATGCAGGGCATCACCCCGACAAAAATTCGCATCTACGTGCCAGACGACACCCTGAATGGCATCAGCACATTTCGCTTCTACACTTTTCCGAACAATGGTATCATGAACCTTACCTACGTCGACCCCGCCACGAACCAAATCGCCTACTGCGATGCATGGTGTCCCTTGCAACTCTCATCAACCTTGGAGGGGAGCGCCGATCTGAACGTGGATGACGCTGACTCATATTCCGATGACGACTCTGTCTATCTGGATGAGAACGGCTCTTTCTTTCGGTACCTCGACTCGGAAACAAAAACCCGCAGCGTGGGCTACGGCCGCGATTTCCAGGAATTCGCTCTTGTAAATGATATCCTGGTCGATGCATTCACTTTGTCTACTGTTGGCTGGTATGGATCAAGAGGCGAATTTTCCGGCTTTGAATTGTACCTGGACGCCATAACGGTCTACGGAAACGATACACTTAATGAACTGAACTGCGGTAGTGAGTCGGACCAGGCTTCAAACTCCGCTGTGATTGAGAGCGGTACTTGGCAAGCAGTCCTGTCTCTTACTGACTCCGAGACTGTCACCAATTACTTGGTCTCAATTGTCGACGACTCGTCTTCAATGACGTTGTATCCAAACATTTCATACTCGGGCGACTACTCCATCCTCTTTTACACGCCTGGGTGTACTGCAGATGGTTCTTGCTCCGAACGGTCCTTGGTGAACGTGACTTTGATTGACGACTACGATCAGGTCTTATCGACAAACATCATTTATCAAAATAATCTTGACGACAAATTTGACTATCTATACTCTGGCCATTTGAACGGCTCATCCTCAGACAATCGAAGAAATCGGGTTCAGGTGGATTTTATTAGTGCGATAGATTCATCTGCGACCAGCCCGTGGGTTGTGATCGATAAAGTGGTATCCAACATTTTATTTTTGGACGAATCTGTCTTATTCGACTCCACTAACTCTACAACAAACACCACCTCATCATACATTACGACAATGTCCTTGAATGGCTTATTCGAATATTCCTTGGCAAACTTCTCTACGTTTTCTCAAGATTCGGTTTTCGAGAACATAGATGATCAAATCATCATCAAGGACACAAACACATACGTGGGAAACTCCACAATCAATGTTTTGAGTGGAAATTTGTCGAATGATTCGTCAATTACAAATGTTGTCTATGCATCTGGAAGCGAACTCATATTCTTACACGGGAACTTGGATTCTCTGGATATTTCTTTGCTGAACAACAACTTAATTACGCTTGCAGTTGATGGATACAATTCAACTGCCAATGATACCGAAATCTCCTCCATAACGAAGCGTTTTGTGAAACGAGACGATCAGACAATACTCGGTGCGACTTTCAATGATTCAATAACCTCAATTTACGATGTTGATGGTGGTATTTTGGCCTTGGGCGAGTATACTATTAGTGAATCTGATGGCTTGAGCAATTTGGCAGATGGAAACTCATCTACCACAACAGCGAACAACTTTGCACTCTTTTACCAAAATGAATGGTATTCATTCGGTAACTCGTATATTGGTGATCTGTTTTCCCAATTTTCATCCATTGTGTTAAACGGTACAGAGTTTTTCATTTTTTCAACCTCGGATGGCGTTTACCTTCCATGGGATAATTCCAACAAACAATGGTCAAATACCAGAGACAAACTCGACATTACTTCAGCAGTCTCTCTCGATGATGAGCAACAAGTTATTGGTGGTTCATCCTTCGGCATCATGGATTTTTACGAAAGAGATCAGGCATACTTACTGAACAGCGAAGAGCTTTCCAGTTTTGACGTCGCCATCACAGAAGGTTCGGTGCGCATATCATATTACCTAAACGAAACTTTCAGTGTTATCGGTGGTACATTCATCTCCAATAACTCTATAGAAAATGTCGCTTTATTGGTGAATGACATCGCCGTACCCCTTCAAGATACGATCGAGTGGCAAAATGACACTTTTGTGTCTAAGCTCTACGTGGATACAGATGATGATCTATTGTTCATTGGCACAAACGGCTCAGCAACCATACACAACTCTGATGTTGCCGGTCTTCTTGTATACAGTTTGACGAACGACACTTTTTCAAGCATTCAACCTCCAGACCTCTCAACGTCTGATGGTTCCCTGCTCGAAGTCAACGCATTGGCACTTTATGATCAAAGCTCACAACTCCTTGTCGGAGGGAACTTCGATTTTGCAGGCTCTTTAGGTTGCGCATCGGTGTGTTTGTATGATATTGAAAACACACGCTGGATTAGTCCATACTCGAGTTCTCTGTCAGCCCTGCTCAGTGGGACTGTTACAGACGCCAAATTTATCTCATCGAGCTCAATTTTACTCAGTGGCAACTTGACATTAAACAGGTCAGAAGCAAGCTTTGTCATGTACGATTTTGGTGAAAACGACTTTGAAACTGCTGGAGACAACATCAACAATATCGCTGTTCCTGGAACTGTGCTGAAGTTTATTATGAATGACAACGCTGATAAAAGTTTGGCTATGAGAATGGCTGCCATCGGCACTGATTTTGTCATGGGCTACGATGGAAACACCTGGTCGAGAATCGATGATGACATCGAATTGTCTGCACAAACGCAGCTCACCGATTTGAAACTCGTGCAACTCAGCGAGAGTAACTCGAACAATCTGAATGAAACATACTTTGATCGAGATCAAGCCTTGTTGTTATCTGGCTTTTTCAACTTAACAAACTACGGCATGGTAAACTTGGCATTGTTTGATGGAACCAATTGGATTCCATATGTATTCACTCTGAAAGACTCCAATGTTGGAAATGTCAACTCATTGCTCCTTGAAGAACTTTATAAATCTCAATCATCTAGTGATTTAGAGACATCAACAAACCAGATGACCACTGGCCAAGTCGTTGGAGTTTCTTTGGCTTGCGCGCTTGGCTCTACCGCCTTGCTTGGCTTGTTGTATATGATTCCCATCTTTTTCATGATGGGAGAATCAGGTAGAAAAGACAAGTCTGATCAAAGGATCCATGAGGATGAGATGATGGACATCGTGAGGCCCGAGGACTTGATTCACGAGATGGACGCGCAAAGAAACTATTAATTCTCAGATTACTTGATATATAATGAATTACGAATATACAACTTTTTAAGCTCTTTCGGGTCCCGTGTACTACTAGCTATGTATGTGAACATGACAGTCGAATTTGAAAACGCCTTCTTTTTGAATGGTTGACGGAAGATATATCATTTACATAAAAATGATTGAAACATGTGATCTCACTCTACCTCAAGAATCGCTAGTGTTGTCAAAAGGCCTCTTAAAAATAATTTTTGTTCAAAGGGATTCTACCACTATGATGATCAATGATAAAGATTTGAAAGTTTGAGTTTCAGAAAAGGTGAAATTTTCCTTGTAGGTTGGCTTACAAGAATGTTATGCGAATTCCATTTTTTCAAAAGAGGCGTGTTGTATTTTGGCTAAGTGATTAGCAATGCTCAACGTGCATTTATATTAAGAAAATGATTTTTATATAGCATGTTCATCCCTTGTACTGGGAGTTGAATAACTTAAGATATAAATCTAAGACTTCAAGTCATTAGAGCATAAAGAAGCACAAGCTCTTGCTACAGTATCTTTTCCTAAAGACCTTAAATTCGGTGTTCATTTTTAAAAATGTAATCGCATTAGTCGCATCTCAAAATTGATACTAATGAAGAAAGGACCTCGATATATCAGCCGTGTGTCGGTTTTAGCAGCATATTTCTAAGACTTTCCTTTTAAAATATACGAAAAAAAAATACAGATGAATTACTACAGAGATAAATTTGGGACACACTGGGTGGGTTTCTTCTCGCTATAGAGTCTTATGTGGGTTTTAAAAATCACAAATTCTCTTCATAATTTCAGGGACAATATGTATACTCACGAGTACGCTTCTAGTTGAACAATATTTGGACGTTGAAAATCCTAGTATTCGTTGTCATTTGGGCATAACTGACTCAAAAGTCTCCTCATTTGGTAGATCTGAAGTTTTGGCCGTGTCGTTTTTAGTTTGTTAATTTCATCTGATAGAAGGGACAGCACTGTGAACCAATTTATTGTCATCTATCTTAGGATTTGTTGTTATTGTATTCGTCTACTTCACCACCTATAAGTGTTTGCTATCTTTTTCTTTGGCTATCTTCAAAAGAATTGTGTGAAACCAAAAGCCCCTTCTTTTCATTCCTACTCTATTTCTTTAAACTTTAACAATCATACGGTACAGCCTTTTTGGCAGATTATTTTAATAGCTGTATTTGATTAAACAAACAAAATTATACAACAAGATATAATAAAACACTTTTCACTGCTGCTAAATTTACTCATAGAAGAACAGGGTGAGTTTTTGTGAGAATTTGTTTGATCTGTTCATGATTTTATCGTGAGCTATCTCCAGGCGGTGGTATGGCCCTTGTCCTAGTACTTCTTTTGTTAGATTCGTCTGATTAAAGGAACCAAGTAAGTGCATTGTATACACAAAACCCTCAAAGCAGCTCCTTTATTTTTTTAAATTTTTTTTTTAAATTGTTGTTTTTGGGTTTTTTTTTCAAAGAAACATCATTTTATTTGGTGTCACTGGAGGGATGTGAAAAGACTTCCGCCCATAACCAATGCCAACCACTTGCATAGAATGAACTAAATGTCATCGTTCCATAGGATATGTTTTCCTGAGGGCCCGCGACCATAATTTAAGTCCAATAGCTTTTGTTCATAATACAACGTATTGTATGTGATATGTCCATTGAGAGGAGTGATAAAACATCCATTTGAAAACCAATCCTATTGTTTTTACTGTTTCACAAACTACAGACCTCTACATACCAAAGGAGATGCGGTGGCTCAATGGTAGAGCTTTTGATTCCAAATCAAAAGGTTGCAGGTTCGATTCCTGTCCGTGTCAAATTCTTTTTGTTTTTTACATCTTTAGATTCATTTGCTTTTGTTTACAAAGCACTACGAAGTCAATTTGAATAGTTACTTTATTGTAAACGTATGTGAATTAAACCTGGGGCTCTTCAGATTCAGAAAGAGGTTGGGATTCTTCGTCATCAATATCAAAGAGACGTGCATCAGCTTCTGCTGGCTCGCTACTTGCAAAATCATCAAATTGATCGGGTTCATCGTCAACCTCGAAGTTCACATCTGCAGCCTCTCCCAATTCGTCCTCGTAGTTATCTTCAAAGTTTCCAAAAAGCTCGTCTTCATCATCTGGCACACGGACGTAGTCTCTACGTCCAGGTCTGCGACCAAAGGCAATTCTGGCAGCATTTTCAAGCAACTTCCGGTCGATTTTACGAACTGTCTTCACGGCGGCCACGATGCCAGCAATCACAACGATCCCGCCTCTTACTATACGGTTGACAGCAACATCGATATTATTCTCCTCAATGGGTTGGAAGTTGTCGTCCTCGTCTAACCTGATTTGCCCAAGTCTCGCAAAGCCTCCGTTTCGCTTGATGCCTCTCTCGTACACAAACCATGTGGCCCCGAAAAACACCGCGCTTGGAAGAAGAACGAGAAGCAAAAGCTTACCAAAAGTAAAGTTCCGACCATGCTCCTCATTGAATTCTTTTTCATGACCAGGGCATGGACGCACATCCCATGAATCGAATGTTTTTCCGCCAACACAAGTGGACAACGGAATCTTCCTGTATCCTGTGGGCTCAAAATATTCGAAAGTGCCGGGCTTGCTGCACATCTGCTCCTTTCGGTCCTGGGGGCTTAATCCCTTCACGAGTTTGCATGTGCCGTCTGTGTCCCTGAAGTAATTGTAGTCACACTCGTAGTCTCTTCTACTACAGGTGCAATTTTTGACGGTCTTCATTCCCTCACTGAGGGGAGCTGCTCCAATAAAACAGTCGTAGTGGCCTTGAGCTCTCCGTAAATAATGAGATTCATGACCAAACAAACAGTTATCCGCAGACTCGGGATGTCTGGGCGTCCAATATTCGAAGTCATCATTGAGTGGATGATCCAAATCAATCTGACACTGTCTCTTATAAAAGTTGGTGAAGTCAAGCGAGTACACAAGAGTTTTCGACGCATCTTTATCATCCTCGGCAAAAATAACAAACTTTCTTGCAGTGTCTGTGGGTACAGTAGCCAAATCTCTGACCTTTACTGGCTTGTCTGCGAATTTGTGAGTTTGCCAGGTATTTCCATCGTCGGTGGAAAACAAAAATACATCGGTCGCTGCGACCGCATTTACCAAGAGTAGGATCGTTCCTCGGTCTCCGTATTCCCACAAAAATACGCCTTTACTTATTTCTTTCCATGTAACACCTCCATCGGCAGATATGAAAGTGGAAGCATCTTCATAAGACTTGAGCGATTCACCTACGTTCCCAACACCGATCAAGTATCCAATCGCAGAAGCCGACGAGAAAGTGTCTCTGTAGTCGGGCCTCTCGGTGAATCCGTGCAAATTGAGGGAACATCTGTCAAGTGGGCTCCCAATACAGGAGTATTTCTTACCCTCGGAGTCAAGCGATGGCGGAGTCAAATAAGACCATTGACTTCCGTCGTTGAAAGACATTTGAGTTTTAAGCTCTTTTGGGCCCTTGCCGTTAGGATTTCTAACGGTATTGGCAACTAAAACACCTTCCAAAATATCAATCTTGTCATAGTCAACAAACCCACGGTGATCTCTGTTCACATTTTCCAAGGACAAGACATACGACGTTCCGTTTGAGTTCGATTTGACAAGAGAGCCAAACTCTCTCCCTTCCCCATCCTCGGTCGTGATATGAAGAAATACGGAATGACGATGGGATTCCAAAATGGTGTATGTGGTTTGGGCATCCACAGTAAAATCTGTGGGAAAGTCTGCATCTGCAAAAGTAGTGCCGTCAGAGGTAATTTTCAACTGCAAGGCCTTTTCTTCCGTTACGGTTGCAACAAGAACAAAGTCGGGTTTACTTGCAAATGCTAGAACGTTTTTGAAAAGAACAGTGGATGTTTGGAAGTAATCAGTGGAAGACACTAGCTCTTTTTGGCCGCTGTTTCCAGTCAAACAATACATGAGGTTCTGATCCGAACCGACCAGATCCGCAACGTATTCACATACGCTAGCACTGATGGGCATTTTCTTGAATGACGCTCCACCATCCTCTGTATAGTAGGTTATGCTGTCCAAGCCCAGTTGGTCCGCGGCAATGAAAATAAATTTGTTGGCGTCAACCGGGTGAAATAAAACTGGCTGCCCAAGAGTGGTAGGAATACCTGGTGATTGCAATTTCGTGAACGTATTACCTCCATCAGTGGAAAAATACAAACTTCTCAAAGATACAAGCACTGCAGTCTCCGTGACGGGTCCAACAAGAAAAAATAGAATATCTTCATCCACAGGGACATCAACGAAGGATGATCCGCCATTGTTTGATGCATGCACAACGTTTTTGTTGGTGTGTACCAAGATGTTGCTTAACCTGTTATTGCTCTCCACATACGAGTATTGATCGAGGACACCTTCAAACGTGGAAAGCTTGACTGAGATAGCATCTTCGGCATAGTCGCCCTTTTCCTCTTCGATGGTCTTGCAGTCAAACTCGGTCTCCGCGATGAAATCGGACTTCGAGCTTTTCGAGAAAGAGCAATCGTTCCCAGAGATTTGCTGCTGATGGGGGATTTTCACACTCTTTTTCTTAGAAGACTGGCATAGCTTGGATATTTCATCTTTAACGGGCACACAAGCTCCTTTGTCGGAAAGCTTGAAGTAAGGTGAGCACTCGAAGTCTGCGGCAGTACATTCGCAAGGCAGATTCTTCGTTTCGATGGCACCAGGCCCTGCCTTCACAAGACACTGCGCATCCTGCTTTCTCCTGGAAAAAGCGGACTTGTGGCCGTGGACACAAGTAGGCCCGTCGAGCTCTGCCGAAACACGGGCATTTACATTCTCGAAATCGTCCTTTGTACAGGTCTTGCCCCCAAACGCGTTCTTGAAATCAACCGAGTATGCAATGGTATTTTCGCCGCTGCGGCCTAGAACCACAAGTTTCGTGGTTGACGAGTCCAGCAATGTGACAATGTTGACAGGTGACACAGCCACTTCGAGCTCGTAGGTGGACCACAGTTTGCCCTGGTCCAAAGAGAAATGGAGCTTGTTCAGGGCATCGCCAAACACAGTGAGGGACATCAAAACAAGCACATTGCCCCGATCAGCGTACGCCGGCATTGCGAGGCCCTCGACCGCAAGTTTCCAGGAAGCGCCGCCGTCACGTGAGACGTACGTGTCGACGCCCAGGTCCAAGTTGAAAGAGGAGCCCTTGGCCCCCGGCGCCACGAGAATGTCAGGTGTTTGCATCGATGTGGGATGCATGCTCGCGCCGATCTCGGGCACGAAATGAAGAGAGCAGCCGTCCTGGACTTTGCAGCTTTCGTCGTCGATGATGCGGAGGGGCTCCCACGTTTTGCAGTCATCGAAAGAGTATCTTGTGAGCATGTCCGCGCTGTTTTCGGAAAGCCTGACGTCCGCAAACCACAGGCCGTCCACGTTGTTGGAGCTGGACGCAGAGAAGAGCCCGACATTCGCGATTTTGCGGAACTTGAGGCCGCTGGAGTCGGAGAAGTACATCACTTCCTCCTTGGTGTGTCTGCCCTGGTAGAACAACGACAAGCGCAAGGACACGGGCGTGGACTTGAGGAAGATGATGGCGCCGTAGGTGATTTCAAAGTCGAGGTCGGCACTGCGGAAGGTGGCCGCGTCTTTGGACACCACCAACGTGACCTGGGCCTCGTTGAACTTGTCCTTCTTCAACACGACCACGAGGAACGCCGACTCGACGCGCACGTCGATGATCTGGCCGTGTTTGATGTAGATGTGGTCCACGACCTCGTGGGTCTGGAAGAAATCGGTGGACTTGAGGAGGTTCGACTTGACCACGTGGCCAAACGAGTTGACGTCGTTCCGGGAGCAGAACATGGTTTCCAGCCTCACCAGCGGGTCGAAGTCCAGGTTCGAGCGGGCGAATACACACCTCTCCACGCCGGCAAGCACAGGGAGGGGGTTGCTTTTGAGCCCGTCTTTCGAGTAGAACACCTCGGACTCGCAGGAGGAAAAGAGGCCGGTGCAGTGGCCGAACGTGAGGAGCACGTAGTCCTTGTTGGCCCGGTTCAACAGCACCTGCACGGAGTTCCACGAGGACATGGGCTGGTTCTGGCTCGCCGAGTGCATTTCGAACAGCAGCCAGCTTTGGCCGCGGTCGTTGGTCACGTAGTGGCGCGAGCCCGGCGAGAAGGCAAACGCTCGTTCGGGGAAAAACGGGTCCATTTCGATGAGCACGGGCGGGCTGTCTTTGAAAAGCGGCAACTCGGTCCAGGACGCGCCGTCGTCGGTCGAAAGCGCCACGAACGTGTCGAAAAACGCCAACACGTGCGACGACTGGTCGAAGTACGAGATCAGCGACGCGGCCTGCTTGTTCCAGGCCGTCATGTGCACGTCGGGCTGAAAGTCCTGGGCTAGACATAGCCGGCAAAAAAAGAGCACTACGGCCGCGGCGAAGACAGGGGCCCGCAGCGTGGCTCTCATGGTCGAGTGGATGTGTTTCTGGGATCCAGTGTTCTTGCTGGACGCTGCTTTGGAAGACTGGGGTCCGGTCTTTTTTTGTTTGTTTTTTGTTTGTTTGTTTGTTCCGAAAAACGTGTGGAAAAGGCTCAGACAAAGCGTCGTTGCTGGATGATGGTGCTATGTAGTTGGCGGGCGCTAGGGCCGCGCGAGGTGAGCCGGCCTGGGGCGAGACGGCGCATTGTGCAGGACGGCGCCTGGGGCCGGCCGGGCTGGCGCCCGTGGCACACTTGCTGGCCAGCGAGGGCATCCTGAGAGATTGCGGTGGAGAGGACGCAGACCTGGAGAGTCGCCCGGGGGGTTTTGGCGGTTTCGTAAAATCGGGGTGCGGCGAGAAAAGTCGGGGACCGGCGAGAAAAGTTGGGGGCCGGCGAGAAAAGTTGGCTGGGGCCGCGCCGTGTAGTGGCGGGGCCGGGTGGCCCAAGGCGCGCTGCCATTGTCTCTTTTCTTACTTGCTCGAGTGGCGCCGCACAGAGCGCGCATTGAGGCCGGGGCCATCTGGGCAAAGATAAAGGGACAAGATGAAGGGCCAAGATAAAGGGACAGGATAAAGGGACAAGATAAAGGGACAAGATTAAAGAGCCACAACAAATATAAGGGACCGATACAAAGACCCGGAAAGGACCCAAAAAGGTCCCAAAAAGGTCACACTTCAAGTGCCACAATGTAAAGGCCCTAGTATCAGGACCGCAGTGTATAGGCCCAAGGTCGGGGCCGCAATAGAAGGGCCAATATAGAAGGGACAACATAGAAGGGACAACATAAAAGGGACAACATAAAAGGGACAACATAAAAGAGACAACATAAAAGAGACAACATAAAAGGGACAACATAAAAGGAGACACAATACAACGACCCGAATATAACGACCCAGAAAGGACCTAGAAAGGACATAATTTTAGGGCCGCAGTGTACAGGCCCATGCACCAGGCCGCACTAAAAGGGCCAATATAAAAGGGCCGATATAGAAGGCCGATATAGAAGGGACAACATAAAAGGGCGAACATACAAGGGAACACAATACAACGACCCGAATGTACAGACCCAGAACGGGCCCGAAAAGGACCCGAAAAAGGACTCGAAAAGGCCCCAAAAAGGCCATAATTTTAAGGCTGCAATGCAAAGGCCCCAATATCAGGGCCACGATGAAAGTGCCAATATAGAAGAGCCAAGATGAAGGGATGAGATTAAGGAACAAGATTAAATAGCCACAACACATATAAGGGACTGTTACAACGACCCGGATGTAACGACCCGGAAAGGACCTAAAAAGGACCCGAAAAAGGACTCGAAAAGGCCCCAATTTCACGGCCGCAATGCAAAGATTTATTCGTATTTCCTCCCACATAGACCTTGTTGTCCTTAGTGGATACCGTAGTGTTCAAGATAATTCTCTCCTTAGGTTGTACACTCAGTTTTAGAGGCATTAGTTCTAGTTATACTTATATCAGCAATAAATCCTACGATAGCATATGTTATTGCTAGTTGTACTTTATTGTTAATAAGTTTCTTTATTGTTTTACCTTATATCTAATATATAATTACAGGTATAATAATTCTATTTCTACTTATTTGAGCATATCTAATCACGTCATTATTCTATGACTCCTTTATATTCAATGATACCCCACCTTTGGGTGATTTTATTTTCTTATTTTTATCAGGGCCGCAGTGTATAGGCCCAAGGTCGGGGCCGCAATAGAAGGGACAACATAGAAGGGACAACATAAAAGGGACAACATAAAAGGGACAACATAAAAGGGACAACATAAAAGGGACAACATAAAAGGGCCAACATAAAAGAGCCACAACAGATATAAAGGACCGATGCAGCGACCCAAACATAGAGACAACTACAACGGCCCGAATATGACTTTGCCTCTTCTGTTCCGTGAGGCTGCTTCTTCCAGAGCCAACCTTTCGTCGCGGCTCTCGCTTTATACGTCTGATCCACAAAATCGTCACGAAACTCGTAAAAGTAGCGACCATCTAGGCAGCCATGTCCATTCTCAACATGGCAGAATAAGCCGTCCATCAAACTTTGGCCGTAGCCCAGAGATAACCCAGAAACTTCCCAGAATCTACCCAGAAACAACCCAGAAACTTCCCAGAACCTTCGCAGAAACTCCCCAGAAACAACCTAAAAAAACCCATTCTAGGGCCGCGACTTCAGGGCCCCGGCCCCGGCCCCGGGCCGCGCCCACTCAAACACGCACCAACGTCTCGTCCACAACCACACCCAAAAACGGCAGCCGGTCCACAACCCGGGCATACGCACTCACCGGGTACTCCTGTCCCAAGTAGTCACTGAGGCAGCAGCTGTAGTTCAGAAGACTCGTGCAGAAACGGTGCACATCGGCCTCCTGGATGCGCACCACGGCCTCCACCGCGGGTTTCTGCGTCTGTTTCACCAACACGTCGAAATGGCTGGCCTCGCCCAGAAGCCCGTAGAGCTGGCCCAACGCATGCGTGAGCATGCTGCGCCACGTGAGCAAGTCCACGTCGATGTTGTTGTAGAGCGGTCTGTTGTTTTGCTCGAGAATCGGGTCGGGCGTGCTGCGTCCATGTTAGTAGCCTGGCGGAGGTTTTCGTTTCAATTCATTTTTTTGGTTGCCCTTGGACGCTTCAAGCTGGGCCTGAGAGGCCACCTTTTTTTTTGTTTTTGGCAGGGCTGTTTGGCCGGCATGGGCCTGATACGCACATTTTGATCCGGAGGTAGTGCCAGCCGGACATTCTGAAGAGAGTCGTTTTTCGGGGCTTTTTTTCACTTGATCCGTTCAGCAGATGCCTGAAGCTGTGCCCAGAACCAGATGGCCTTGGCCCATGCGATGCGATCGCACCAGATGTACCGGACGGGCCGGCCAGTCGCGCGCCAATATTGCGTAATAAATCAACAGGCTCGAGAGACATGGGAAACACGGGACTAGGCCCCGGGACGCCCGGCATGGCCGACTTCTGTACATATATAGACATATATGCACATATAGATACATATATATAGACATATATATATATATATATAATTCCGGGGATGTGTATGTACTCACGCTCTCCCGCGGGCTGGGCTGGCTCCGCTGCTTCTGCTTATACCTCCAATACTTCTTTCGCCGCTCCGAGCCGTGGACCACCGCCCGCCAATTCACGCCAAGACCTCGGCCCAGCAAGGATGGCGTGCACGCCCGCCGGCTTTGGCAGGGACTTGCAGCCCCTCCTGCCTCATGCAGGGAGCTGGATCTGGATGTTGGAGCTGTCGCTCGAATACTCCGTGGCCGACTCGGACTCGTAGGACGTGGTGGGCGTGATTGCGGCCGCCACCGCGTCGCTCCTCTGAAACACCGGTACTCCCTTGGCCTTCAAGCCCTCGCAGGGGGGGCCGGCCGCCAGCTGCTTGCGCATGTAGGGCTCGAAATACGGCGCGTACTGGAACCTGTTCTCCGAGCTCACCACAGTCTCGGAGCTGGCGTCCGTGGCCGGGCCTAGCCTGGCTCCGGTTGCGCCTGTGCCTGCCCACTCCCCGCCCGCGGCTGGCGTGAAGTACGCCGGGCTCTCCGGGCCAGGGGCAGTGAAATACGCCGGGCTCTCCGGACAAGAGGGGGCAAAATTCGCCGGGCCCTCGGGCGGGCCGGCGGCAAAATACGTCACGCCATCCACGCTGGGGGCCTCGTAGCTGACGTTCCACTTGGGGCTGCTGCCGTGGCCACTTGCGGCTTTTGGCTTGGGCTGCAGCGTTGTGTCTGCGCCGTGCCGGGCCTCCGAGATTTCGGCAATCGACACCGGGATGGCGTTCGCCGGAACCGGGATGCCCGGCTTCACCCGGATGATCTTGGATCCCCGGGGTAGCTCCCCGAAACTCAGCGGGATCTTCACTAGGTGGAAGCTTTCGAACGCTGGCACCTCGTTTTTCCTCGCACCCCGTCCTGGCCTGGCACCAGAATTACTGGAGCCGGGATGGATTTTCGTGGCTCCCCCATTGGAGGCCCGGGCCCGGCAAAGGTCACTTTTGGGTGCTGGGCGCAGAGTGTAGCGCACAGACACCCTGGAATGAGGGCTGGTGTAGAGCCCTGGCGAGTGGCTCCGGTAAGTGATATCCGAGTGCAAATCCAGATAAACCAATTGCGCTCTACAGGCGGCAAAAAACATTCGGGCCGCTTCCTCCTGGCACTCGTGCCTTAGCGCAAGTAGCTGGGTGTGGGTGTAGATTTGCTTCATGGACAAAGAAGTAATGGGTACAAAAAGAAGCGCATGCCCTGTTGCGGCAGATTTAAATGAGGCCGCGCCCCAGTACCTGGGTCCGTTTCCGCACCGACAAAGTAGACATACATGGTTCTCGGCGCCAGCCCGAATTAAAGGCGGGGCAAAAAGAAGAAGAGACCAATGAAACAGACAGGAAGAGTTGCAAAGCAAAAAGATATCAAAAAAAACGACAACTGCAGGACTCGAACCTGCGCGGGCAAAGCCCAAAAGATTTCAAGTCTTTCTCCTTAACCGCTCGGACAAGTTGCCGACTGCATAATTATCTGCGAATCTAATTTACTCATTGTATAGCGGGTAGTTCGTGGCTAGTAAGTCGAGCGCAAACCCCGCAGAAGGTCTTTCGGGCTCTGAAATGTGTTGAAGTTTGGAGAACAACCAGTTGACAAAACAATGACTTAGAAAGAGCTTTTTACTTCCTCTTTGCCATATGAATTGAAGATACTGCAACAGAACGCTTGTCTTTTTGTCCTATGCGATGACGTCATATCCAAAAGCGTAAACAGATGCGTACCAAGAGAAATTTTAAAGCGGTCCGACTGATACTTGGTACCTTTATGGGAGCTGTTTGAAGGTTTTGTATATACTGCTGTAAATTTTTGCTCCAATCAGATGAATCTACCAAAACAGCGACAAAATGTACCTATCTGGGAGCTGTTGAATTGTTGTCATAAACGTTTCACGGCTTTGCTCCGTCAAACAGGGGGAATCAAAGGGCTATTAACGAAAGATACGAAGCATACCTTAACATTACACAAATCTACCAAAAACAATTACGGAAGTTTTTCGAAACAGAAAATGACAGTAAAGTGACAAAAGTATCTACTCTCGTTTGGCCACCTGGCCATTCTATTCACAATCACTCTTGTCTCGAGAATCAAGCTTTTATTGTAGTCCTGAAGAAAAGTTTGGGATGATTTGCACATATGCACCTATGAGCAGCTTCCTGAAATATTGTTGTTTCATAGATGTAGACATTCAACGGCTCACTAAATTGTTTCAGCCGCCTATGGGCTAAAAGCTTAAGCTCAAATATATGGGAAATTTTCATGATACGCAGACTTGATGAGGGACTTCTAGGCACTGTTGTTTTTTCTTTCTCTTTCTTCTTGAATAAGGTATTCGTGGTTTGAATATTTCAAGCCACGTGCCCCAGAAAGCAGAGGCTTGAAGCCAGGTAAAAAATGTCTTGGACGCACATACACAATTCAAGTATAACTCTTTTGTTCTTTTGTCAGTTCGTATGAATCAACTAAAGATCATGCCCGTGTCTCTTATTTCCAGAAGTGTTTGACCAAGCCGTCTGAAGAAAAACATACTTCACAACAGCTTTCATGAAAAGACAAGCTTGATCAAATGCCCTTGTTTGAGCCCGGAACGCACGTTCCTGGCATGATATTGTCCAATACATGAACAGATACGGGCCAAGAGGACTGTCCAGGCCGTGACTAACGGAAGGAGGCGGAGCGACTTTCGACACTAGGTACATCTCTGGGAGCTGTTGAAAGGTTTCTTATGTATTTTACATATATAGTCATTTAATCAGATGAGTCTATCAAAGAAAAAGAAAAATAAACATGAGGAGACATCCGCAATTAAGTTCAATCACCACGGTCCTCTTGATAAGGACTTTTCAAAGCCAACATTATAGGTATGATGTGCAGTAGAAACAAAAACCCAATTCAGAGACACACTGAAAGCTAAAAAGGAAAATTGATATGATTTTTCGAAGCTCAGGCCCAGCAGTTCTTGCGCAAATAATTCTCAAGATTTCATAATCTTTCATGTATTTAAGGTTGACAGACTTGACGCCACATCTTCTACGGCCAAAATTTGTTGGGTGTTTAAATTTAAGTCAAGTTCAAAAGAACAACCGATGTCCAACTTGAAACATACCCGTGAGACTGTCCTCCTGCTCTGCTGAATTTTTGAAACTGTTTCAAAATGCACCTGAGACAATCGAGAGCAAGATGTTTCTTCCGAGAGAGGTGAGAATGCTGACAGTTGCTCTGCTCTATAAATGTATTTGTATAGGTGTCAAGATGGATAATGGATCAGTTTCAATATCCCCAACCGAAAGTTTAGTCTTCATCCTCTGCTTTTCATGCGAATAATATCGGTCCAGATCCGATAAATTCCAGATAATTTGTATTTATAATCATAAATAAAAGAAAAAAAGAAATGCTTTGATTAGATGTACCAACACCATGAGGTGTACGTTTACAAGATTCAGCTTCACCAAATCATGGAGGAATACATGAATTATATGATCATATTATGTTGTGATAGGGGACATTTTCTTATTTTCTGCGACTAACCGTTTGGAAGACCGTAGAAACCACAAATTGGAATGTTGATACGATTCAAAGTAAGAAATCTAGTCTAAATGCATGAATCTTTGCAACCCCTATCTCGGGTCTTTGGCTCTGGTCAAGATGCTTTTATTGGGTGGATTCAACTCATTAAAAGAGCAAAACCATATAAATAATATACAAAAAAACCTTTAAACAGGTCCGAGCCAAGTGTCGAAACTTGGCTCGTCCCCTCTAGATGAGTAACTCGCCGCTTTTGGGGGATATTAACGCGGATGTCAGAACTGTAGAGTACATATTTAGTGCCAGCTCCTGGCTTGGAACATGTCAATGCCCATAACAGCAAAGTATAACTTTAACGTAGAGATAGCCCGACCTCAACACATTGCTATTCAAGATTTGGGACAAAAAGGAGAACAAAAAAGAAGAGCTGGCCTCGTGTAAAAAAACGACAACTGCAGGACTCGAACCTGCGCGGGCAAAACCCAAAAGATTTCAAGTCTTTCTCCTTAACCGCTCGGACAAGTTGCCAATGATGATCTTTTGAGTTTGCAAGCTGATTATATAAAAATATCTTCAAGCTTTTCGACAAAGAAATATTACGAATAGTATTGGAATTTTAATGATTTTAAACACGGTTTTCTTTGAGCTGTGCGTCTACCACGCGCACTTTTTAATTAGATGAATCTAAATAAAATGTCGTGCCACATCAGAGGGCGCCTGGAAGATGAAACAATAAGCTGATGCCATTTGCGGGTTCTGGGCGGATAACCATTTAAGAAGCTATCTTGGGCAATCTAGAATACATCTGGTAAAGACACTGAACAGAGGCTTGCCGCTTTGGCCTTTTTAGGATTTTGCAGGCCCTTGAGAATTCTGCCTATTTTAATTCCTCGTGGCATGTTACATATTTGTCCCCGAACAAGAGACTTTCGCACTTGTCTGGCGAATACCGTTCACAATAGAAACTACGACAGAACAACCCATTAATCGCAGGGTCCAGCTCCCTAGAATTATAAGCGCCTCCTCCTTTGAAAAACACTGCCTAATTGTATGTAGCCAAAAAAAAAAAAACAAAAAAAACAAACAAACGCTGAGTTTTCGTGCCGACGTCTGGAGCGCCGATTTAGGGCCAGTCTGTTTTTCCTGGCCCCGCGCTAACCTGGCCCCATCACGCGGCCCTAGCTCAGACCCGCACACTAAACCTAGGGCCTCCATTCTCAAGCCGCCTGAAAACACCCTTTCCACCGCTCAACATCCAATGTCGGCGTGGAAGCAAGTCGAAGATGACCAGGGCCGTGTATACTACTACAATCCTGACACCCAGGAGACCAGCTGGGAAAACCCCGAGGCTCTGCTGGCTAGTATATGGACAACATATACCACAGAGGACGGGAAGGAATACTACTACAACGAAACCACAGGCGAGACCACGTGGGAAAAGCCAGCCGAACTAGAAGCCCCCAAGGAGGCAGCGGGGGCACAAGGCTCGGAGCTGCAAGATGGCGCCGAGCCCAGCGGCGCCGACAAGGACGAGAAAACGCTGGATTTGGATCGCAAGTTGGCCCTGGAGCCGCTTCTCAGGAGCACGTTGGTGAACCTCGCGCCGGCGGACCCGGCGGAAAGCCGCCGCAGTTTCCAGGCCATGTTGGAAGAAGGCGGCGTGGACTCGACGTGGTCGTTTGAAAAGGTGATCCGGACATTCATCAAAAACAAGACCTACTGGGCCGTGGACGATGCCGTGGAGAGGCGGGCCTTGTACGAGGACTACCTCGTGAACAAGCTCCAGCGTGAGTCGTCCAGCAAGTCCGGCTTGATCGAGGAGTTCAAGAAGAACTTTCTGCGCGAGATCCACCGGTACTTGTCTGAGGGCAAGGTCACGGCGCACACACGGTGGGTTTCTGCCAAGCGCCTCTTGACCAAGGACCAGAACCCTGTGTTCGAGCACTCGATCTTGCCGGACGGCGAGCTCGAAAAGCTCTATGACGAGTGCACGGACAAGATCCGCTCGCAGCAGAAACAGGACCTCCAGAAACAGAAGGACCAGGCGCTCGGCGAGCTCGAGGCGTACCTCTTGCAGATCACGTCGGGCGCCGGAAACGAGGCCCAGACCTGGGACCAGTTGTACGCCCGGCTCCAGACGGACGCGCGCTTCAAGGCCAACAGGCATTTCCAGGTGCTCACCAAGCTCGACATCTTGCAGCTCTACGCCACCAAAATATACCCCGTGCTCGCCGGCAGGCTCCGGGCCCAGCTCGCCGGCTTGGAGAAAAAGAACCTTCGCTCCGACAGGCATGCGCGGGACGCGTACAAGGCCTTGCTCCGGACCAAGCCCATCACGGCCAACACGCAGTTCAAACGCGTCTTGCCGCAGCTCGAGAACGAGGACGCGTTCATCGAGCTTTGCGGCCGCAACGGGTCGACGCCGCTCGAGCTATTCTGGGACATTGTGGAGGACTTGAGGCAGCTCCAGAAGGTCAAGAAAGATCTCATTGAACACAGCTTGCGCGCGCACATCGGCCTGACTCCGGGCTCCTTGGACTACGAGGATACGCTTGCTACTCTTGCCCAGTTCATGTCGGCCTTGGGGCTGGTCAAGGACGAGAGGCTCGCGGACGTCGATCTATGCTCCGAGAAGGGCAAGAACGAGTTGGCCCTGATCTACGAGACCTTGAACAGCGAGCTCCAGGCGCAGAAACACGCCGAGCAGGCCGTCTTGGCCCGCAAAACAAACACACGCGTCCACGCCTTGGCCGAGTGGATCTGCTCCCATCGCGAGGCCATTGACGGCTCGCTTTTGGCATGGGAGAAGCCGGCCGAAAAGCCCTGCGAGGCGTCTTCTTCCACCAACAGTGAGGGCGGGGAGTCGACGAGCGCACCCGCGGTCATTTGCATAAGCGACAGGGACGCAGAGGTCAAAACCGGCCGTGTCGACCCGGCGCTTTGGCGGGAGAAAATGGCCGGCGTGGACGTGTTCGATGCGCTCCGCACGACATTGGACCGCCACTATACGAAGACCCCGGAAAAGGCAGAACAGGCTCTCCTGGACGCGTTGGCCCAGTGCTTGAAAGAGGTGGCCGCTTTGCTCACTAACAGCCTTACCAGAAAACGGACCGCGGCAGCACCCTCGGCCCAGGAGTCCAAGAGGGCCAGGCCCGAGGGAGAAAAAAAACCCGTGCTCATGAATTATTAGACCATGCCGAGCGAGGCGGAATACGCCCGAGTCGCGCTTCGCCGAGGGCCATATTCAGCAGAGGCAGCCGGAAAAAAAAAACACACACACACACACTTTGCATGGCCAACTGGCCTGGTGGGGGGCCCGTTCCTGCTTTTCATGCTTCCCGGACTTCGGGGCGCAATTCAGGGACTCTTTCCGAGGCTCCAATATATTGGCCTATGTCCGCACCTCAGCCCTGCTGGAGCAATGCCTGGGTGCGCGGACCTGCACTGGGCGCTCCACCCATAATCACCAACCCACGGCCCCGGTACTTCCTTCCTAGCCTCCTTGCCAACAGTCCCTAAAAATGGTACGTGAAAAGGCCTCTCAGACGCCGCATTCGAGACTGCAGGGCCAAAGACGAGGAAACAGGAGATTTGCGCAAAGAAGCTCCGGCGGACACACAGTCTGCCCATTCCATTCCGCATTGCCTTTCTCGGCACGGCCTTGCTGCACCACCCAGTATGTGCCCCCATACTAACTCTGCAATATAGTCCCAATCCTTGAAACCGTACTTGACCGCAGTCAGAACCTCCTTGACTGCGGCAATTTGCTTGCAGGACTTCTCGTCGCAGATGGTCGAGCGTCACAACAGGCCCGAAATCGAGGTGGACAACTCGCACAACCCAGAGCTTCTTTTGAACCCAGTCACAATCGCCAGAAACGAGCATGAGAAGATCTTGATCGAGCCTTCCGTCAACTCTGTGCGAGTGTCGATCTGCATAAAACAGGCCGACGAGATCGAGCACATTTTGGTGCGTCAGTTCACACGATTCCTCACCCAGAGAGCAGAGAGTTTTTTCATTTTGAGGAGAGTCCCAGTCAAGGGTTATGACATCTCGTTCTTGATCACCAACTTCCATACTGAGCAGATGTTGAAGGACAAACTCGTGGACTTCATAATCGAGTTCATGGAAGAGGTGGACAAGGAGATCAGTGAGATGAAGTTGTTTTTGAATGCCAGAGCCAGAGTCATTGCCGAGGCATACTTGACGCCTTTTGACTAGACCAATTCGACAGGACTCGAGTTTGTAGGATCATATCAAAATACGCAACAACAAGATTTTCAACAAAAACAATATAGTACATTTATTGTAGTTTACACAGGATTGCCGAAATTACTGGCTGTTTACATCTTTCAGAGCACTTTCGACTTTGGAATTATGCTGCTGGGCGAGCGGAGATCTGATGACCACGGGACTGCTCTTGGCGGACTCAGCTTCAGCCTTGGAGAGACTCTCCAGCACTTGCCCTGGTGTAGAGTGACTGGAACCAGCATCACCGTGCGCTGATTTACCAAAACTAGCTCTTTGCTGGCGCATTGTGTCTTTTGGTGAACGTGTCAGTACCGACTGAGCGGAATGTGAGCGTATCGGTGTCCCCCTCAAGTTGCCCATACCGCTCTGCTGCGCGTGGAAAATCTGCCCCTGGAAAGCTTGTGCTGGATCAAAGGGTAGGTGCAGAGTCTGTCCAGAAAATCTTTGATTCTGGTTTGTGCTTGATGCTGCGTGGCTATCCACATTTGAATTCCCAGCTGTAAAATTGTTATTAGTGTACGGCGATATGCCCTGCCCTGAAGAGTCGTGACGTTGCGCAGCTGGTCGTTGCTCATTTGCAGGGGTGGATTTGGGGTACGTTTGCTGCTGGGGGGTCGGCTTCTGTATTTGCAGTTGGGGCAGATTGTGCATCTGCAGAACTGGCAGCTGAGGCAGATGCTGCAGAAGTGGCAGGTGCTTTGGAGCTTGTTGAAACTTCGGTAATTGTTGTTGTTGTTGTTGTTGTTGCTGCTGCTGATAGGTCTTGTTGTAGTCTATGTTAGGAACGCTTGATATGATTGATGACTGCTCGTTAACCTCATTGAGCAATCCAGGAATATGGTTCATTACCAAATCCAACTTCAGGAGGGAGTCGCCAATCTGAACAAAACCTTTAGCGGAAATTTTCAAGACCCATCTATAGTCGTAGACTTTCTCTTTAAAGTCTTTAGCCTCCTCTTTGGAAAGTGAAGAAATGAAAAGCAATGCCGCAAAAGTTCCAATGAGCGTAAAATTAGACGACGCCGACGAATGCCAGAAGGAGTGAATATGCTCCGGTTTCAAGTCTTTCACAAAGTCAATTGAGGCAATGAGTCTCGTCCGCGCCGCTGATCGACAGACGTTAACAAGCTCTTCCGGGATTTTTGACCCGTGAATATTTTGCTGGTATATTGTCGTAATAATCTTTCTGTGAAGAGTTAGCTCAGCGGCGAAGTAAGCTAGATGCAAGTATCCGTTGGAACATAATTTGCGTGGCTGGACGGAGTTCATTTGAAGCTCGATCGGTAGTGAGTGGTACCACTCTCGGAGTTTCAACTGAATTGGCTTTGCAACCCTTAGAACCTCACTGATTTCTGTGATCTCCTTCATGGCTTTCATTGAAAATAGAGCATCGATAATCTCAGAAATGATTTTTGAGAGACAGATCAAATTCATGAAGTTCCTCTTGCCATTATTGATGTCAGAGGAACCTTCCTTTAAGTCGCCATCACCATGCTTTTCGGGAAAGTCCTCTTCAGCCAAGTCCAGCACAACCCAGTTAAGTTCATTAATGTGCGATGGCCGAGAATTTTTGAGAGCTAACCACTTGTCCTCCAAGTAAACTGCCCATGCAAGACGCTTCCGTAGTCCTCTTTCCCATTTGGGTAATCGCCAGCCATCGCAGTCTAAGCCAAGACCAAGCTCTTCTGAGATTGCCACCACTTGCGAGCACAAGACCCAGTCGTTGTAGTCGGAGTCGGTGAACGCTGACGTAAGAAACGCCAGGGCCGAACCGTATGCGTCCAGAGAAGGCTGTGACGCGTCGTTCCCTCTGAGTATGTGTTTGCACTGGAGAAGCAAAAGCCCTGCTTGTACTGCGCTCAACTTAGGGCGTTTCAAGATCTCCAAAATGTAGTTGTTGAGCCCGATGCGCAAGATGTGCTCGACGTTGGGTTTCGGAAAGCGGTTGAGCTGGGGGTCGTAGTCCCACCACTGAATGGCCAAAACGTAGACGGCGGCAAGCAACGGCGCGCTGAACTCTCGATGAGTCCGCGAGTACTTTTCCAAAAACACTTTCTTGTGTAGGATTGGATACGAGGGATGGATGATGCGGAAATATAGGTCGATGAGGATCTGGCCGTGCGGCGCGATGAACTTCTCGATGGCATCGACATCGCTGGACATGGTCTGGATGGAGTGCTTCGTCTGGTCGTCCTGCAAAAGGAACTGGGTCTTGTTCTCGACCTTTCGAAGCGAGATTATCTCGCTGAGATTGACCTGCTCAATCTTGTTGAGCGTACCAGGCCGTGCGGAGGTCGCAGCGGGTCCGCCCGGCGGCTTGTTCTGAGAGCCAATGATAACCTCGAGGAGGTTCGGGTCGAACAAGTACGAGGTTGGCCCCACGTAAAACGACGAGCGGGGGAACTGGAGAGAGAGCGTTTTCTTCAAGAGCGAGTTGTTCATGGTGGAGTAGTCGTGCACCGGGGCCACGGTGCGGATGGGCACATTGGGCGGCACGATGTCGTACATGTTCTGGCCCGGCGCCGAGCCTAGGTCCAAGTAGTCGCCCGGAAGCCCGTTGCGGGCGCGCTTGGGTACGGGCTCGTCTTTGCTGGGCGGTAGCCGCGTGTACGTGCACGTCAAGGACTTGGCCTCGCACTGGGCGCAGTTGTCTGTGTTGGGGATGATCACACAGCGGATTTTCTTGCGGCGGCAGTGGTCGCAGGGCCGGCGCGGCTTGCCACGCATGTCCTTGGCGCCCATGAGGGCCACGGGCGGCTTTTGACCGGGCGCACCGTGCTGGGACGCCGGCGCTAGCTGCTGCTGGGGGAGGCTGTGCATGTGGGGGGCCATGGGCGCCATGGGCGCCATGGGCGCTACCGGCGGCAGGGGCGGCAGGTCGCCGTACGGGTAGTGGAGGTCGTGCGTCTTGGCCGGGAGGTCGTGCACGCTGTTCTGGAACTGGATCTTCTGCATGATGTGGTTGTTGGGCGGCGCGGCCGAGTTGGGGAAGTCGAAGTTGGCAAGGAGGTCTGTGTTGGCGTTGTCGAGCAAGAACTGGGACGCCCAGTCCAAGTAGGTGGCGGCCAGATCCTGCGGCGGGCCGGAGGAGCCGGGCGGGCCGTTCGGGGCGCCGAACTCGGGGATCGGGCTGTGGGAGTGTGGCGGCTGCTCGGGGAGATCCATGTGCAGCGGCGGGGCGGCGGCTTTGCGGTCGTTGGGCTGCTGCGGGAAGGCAGGGTCGTTGCCCGCGTTTGTGTTCATGTCCCCCTGGCGGCTCGGAGCAGATTTGCGTGGCGGGAGGTGGTGGGATAACGTGTGACGAGGGCGGACGGGGTGGCAGAAGAGGGCAGGATTTGCGAGGTGCGGGTGGGGGTGTTGTTTTGGGGCAGAGAAAAAATCAGGGCGCGCAGTGAGATTTCGGGGCCGCAGGGAGAATTTGGTGCAAGTGAGAATTTGGTGCAAGTGAGAATTTGGTGCAAGTAAAATTTCGGCTGCAGTGAGAATTCAGGTGCAAGTAAAATTTCGGCTGCAGTGAGAATTCGGGTGCAAGTAAAATTCGGGTGCAAGTAAAATTCTGGCTGCAAGATTTCGGGTGCAAGTAAATATCGGGTGCAAATAAATATCGGGGGCTGCACTATTTGACGCCGCCAGGTTTTGATGCCGCCTAGGAAAATCGGAATTTCGGCGGCCCGAGGCTATTTGTTTTGGCGGGCCCCTCAAGCGCCAGTGTCGAAATCACAATTGGCGGCGCAAGCTGGGAGAATTGGCCAGATAGGCTGGAAAAGACCGGCGGGGAAAGAGAAGCAGAGTGGTATATTGGTTGTCTTTTTTTTTCCCCCGACCTGGTGTATTTTGTGAGGGTGGGCGCGATAGTGGAATGGGGGCCCTAGCAATTTAGCGTGGCGGGCGGGACAGGGCGAGAGGTCCAGAGAGAAGGGGGAGGTAAGGTCACTAAGGCCACTGGGGCCAGAGGGGCCAGATAGGAGTGCCGCCAGCGCCACAGCCACAGATTAGGGCCGCCAAACTTCGCGCCAAGATAGGGACGAAAAAAAGAGACGCGGCGCGGGGAAGACTGGCCCGTCGTTATCAGGGGAGCGGCCAATCGCCAGAATAGTCCGTCCTTCTCTTTTTTTTTACCGTCGTGGTGTGCTTTTCTAATTTTACCGGCACAGTGTGCTGGGACCACGCCCGTGGTTTTGGAAAGGGCCCAGCCCGAGTTGAATCCGAGCCAAATACTCCCAGAAAAGCCCAGTGCCTTGTCCTCTAATATTCCAACTAGCAGAGCCGTTCGCATGTAGGGCCGCGCCGGGGCCAGCGGAGACAGAGCGGGAAATGTGGGTCCACCCCGTGCGCCGACTAAGGGAGGCTGTAGGGTTTTTTCTTTGGAATAGTGTTTTTTTTGTGTTTGATTTCGGACTGTCATTTTTCGGTGTAATTAGGCGTGTGACTTGCAGTGATCTTAGTGATTTTGCAGAGATACTGGTGTGATTTATCGGTGTGATTTATCGGTGTGATTTATCAGTGTGATTTATTAGTGTGATTTATTAGTGTGATTTATAAGTGTGATTTATAAGTGTGATTTATAGTGTGCTTTGTTAGTGTGACTCGCAGTGAAACTAATTCGATTTGGAGTGTAACTTTGTAGTGTTATAAATGAATAAGTTTGCATGTTGAAGTACATTGTTTAAGATATGAGGCACAGCATTAACAGATCCCGATACTCGAATAAGGAGTTTACTGGCACCATGAAAGTTCCACATAAGACGGTCTGACCGTTCTCGAGGCTAAACGAACAAATGAGCACGATCCATTGTTGCATCCAATTTCATTCCATTCTAGAAGAAACAAACCTAGTCAAAAGTTAATAGATTTTGTTGTCCCGCTTTGGCCAAGACTTAGTATGATATTTCTTGACTTAGTTTTGTCCTATCTTTGAACGTACAGTCTGCATAACGTACCAAACGAGAGTGTCCGGGAAACCAAAATAAGACTGAGATAAAAGTTTGTTATATCATGTGGTATATACTGGCACAATGCTTAAATTTGTAAATGAAAAGGAAGTTGGGGGTGTTCATGGAAAATAATCAAGACTTTTATTTGTATCTAAAGTCGATTTTCATCATCATTATATTTTTATTTAAAACAATAACATTATGATATACACGTAGCAATAGAGTCAATTTAAATACACCTTCCTTTTCATTCAATGACGTGTGTCTTGGGTTGTACTGAGTTTCTGGAGAGGTCTTTATTATGCGAACTTCATATATTTATATAGTGCTCACTCCAGAAACCTTATAGATTTACCTTTAGGTTATTTGGGGTCTTCTGTAGTTGAATTGTTTTTTACTTTTAGAGTGTAACCCACCAAAAGTTAACCTGCCTCATTATTCCTTCTATGGGGTTGGCTTCCAAAACTCTCAATAGCCCAGTGAAAACGCTCAACTGCTCTTATACCATGTCTTTCGTCTTGAGGAATATGGTTGCAAAGCCATCGTGAAAACAAGCCTTCTCTTTCGAACCATATACAAGACAAAACATGAACAATCAGGGTTCAATGTTTTTCCAAATCACCTCGTGATTTTGATCACATGCACGTTATCCTTGTTTACCTCTGCTCGTATGGTTCGCTTAATACATAGGCATGACAACCCGTCGCTTCAGCTCATCTCCATCTCATCTCGTCACCAAGATTGTGTGATGGTATGCACGATTACACCACCAAGTCAAAGCACATCAATCCGCAGCTTAATAATATGTTAAAGTCAGCGAATAGAACCCACCGTGCCACTAAAATAAACATATCCAAATGAGTATGCGTGTGTGTACTTCTGGTGGCAAGAGATCGGCATTCAAGCTCCAACGCACTTGAAGGAAACGCTAGCTTTTCTCAATGCTTTCTTTGATCTAAGAATCCTTGATTGATTTGTTAAAGTCATTCGCAGGATTTGCTTAAGGACCAGGAGGCAAAAACCAATGTACGTCGTTCTGCCTTGTCAAATGAACCATGGTCACGGGTCCTTAAAACCATATCCCATGGGACGATGAAATTTAGCTAGTTTATTCAAGTGGTTGAAATTCCATGGGAAGAAGTCTTTTTCATCGTCTTTGGGAGATTTCGTGAATTGGCGCTCACGCTTTCTCAGATGAGCCAATGATGCGATCTATTATAGGTTTTTTCTTAATAGTTTTTTATTAGTGCCATTTCGGCAGGTGATCAATTACGCCTATGTGTCCCCGAGGGTCTCTCACGGCTCATGCTCCTACAAAATGTACACGCTTCGCATGCGGGAGGACACCGAGGGGTACAAAAGACGTACCAACAACTTAAAAACAAATACTATTGGCATAGACTTTTTGAAACCTGCAAGCGATGTGTCTCTCAAAGTGTGGTATGTCAGGAAAACAAGACATCATCTAGACAAGTTGCGGGACTTCCCCGACCGCTCGAAGTGCCATCACAGAGATGGAGAGATATTTCCATGGATTTCGTTTCGGGGTTAAGTAAGACAAAAACGGGTTTTGATGTAATTTTAGTGGTGGTAGATCGCCTTAATAAAATGGCACACTGAATCCCAACGAAGTCAAGCCTCAAGTCGGAAGAATGTGCTCGATTGTTACTGGAACACGTTTTCAAGCTACACGGTTTTCCAACCAAAATAGTGAGCGATCATGATAAGTTGTTCCGGCCACAAGTTTGGCAGGAATATATGCGTCTTTGGAAGATTCAAACTCGGTTCGCAACGAGAGAAGACCCACAAACAGATGGCCAATCAGAACGTACAATCCGTACTATTTCAGATATCTGTCGAACAATGTTGAATCAAGAAGGTCAGTTGCTAGAATGGGATAAAGTCCTACCTATGGTGGAATTTTCATATAACAACACAGTACTGTCAACGACGAATGTGACACCTTTCTTTGCAGATCACGGGTTTCACCTACAATATGTTCAAGCATTTCCGGAACCTAATGTCAACGAAACGAACAAGAAGAAAGTGGCGGCACAAGTATTCGCGTTGGAACAACAAAAAACCCTTCAACAAGTTCTAGACAGATTAGCAGAAGCATAACATACGATGTTGGCAAATGCCAATAGGCACCGGAGACACCAAGTCTTCGAGGTGGGAGATCAGGTCCTTATACATAGAGATCTGTTAAGACTCGGTGAGACTAGTAAACAGAAGTTTACTCGACTTTACTTGGGTCCCACCAAAATTAAAAGACGACTCAATGATAACACATATGAACTCGACCTACCTACTAGATAGTTTATATCGAGACAAAGCCTGACGTTCAATGTCTCATCATTGGAACCATTTGTTCCACAGGCAGACGAATTCCATGCTTTACCACCATTCACAGTCGAAGAAACGTGCGAGTCTATCGTACTTTTAAGAGTATTTCAGACGTCAAAGACGATACAGTGCAGACACATTGGTATAATTGTCCAATTCCAGTCTTGGTATCTTTGGATAATTATCTGCAATTCCCGGTGGGAATGAGAATCGCTCTTGAAAGCGCAGATAATCGCACACGGGAATCTTTCTAATACCACCCTATGATAGAATGGTTCTTCAAAAAAGGTTCATTTACGTACAATTGGGTAGGGCTGTCTCAAGTATTCCCTCCCGGCATAGCGGGGATTTACTAAGTCTTATAGGTTATAGGGAATAGTTATACATATTAAGCATTTTTACAAAGCTGTCATGTCCATTTCTTTATGTGTATGTCATTATGTTTATGAAATTTTCCTTTCATATTCTTTTCATGTTCCTTTCATGTTCTTTGTATATCAATTCCGCTATATTATCAAAAAGAACTATTAACAACCATCTGTCATAAATCTGTAATTATGTTATTATAATATACTTTTTATGGGTATCCCGCCCTGCGGAAATGAGATTTACTAAAAAATTTGAGTACGTCCATTCCATCCATTTTAGCTAATGCTCGAGCGTTATAAGGTATACTTATAATACATTCTCCGGAGGGGAAATCTCACCCCGCGGAGCGGGGTAATACATTTATCAATATATAATGACTGATAGAAAGAGAGGCTAATTAATGAGCTTTAGAATAATTCTTAGCATTAGAACCCGTTAGTTGGTGTTTTGAGTACGTACGATCAACGCCGTTTCTTGGTTCCTTTCTTATCCCTTGAATCCTTTCATCCTCTAATGTTTACATTTCAAACACATGTAACTTTTATTTGGCATTGGTGGTATCTATAGTAAATCAGTTTAGTATGCGGTTGATTGTTCCACGAAGTAAGGCGCGGGGTACTCTGGGCCATGATTCTTATGTAATGAATCATGTTGTCTCCCCGATGCATCGACATGGTTCAATCCCCGAAGGATGAAAAAGTGTTGTAATTATGCAGTGATGGTTTTAAGTGCTCTGTTCCAGTCCGCCTCTCAGTCCTTCATTCTCAATCCTGTGCCCCCTTCCTTTATTCAAGACCGCGGTTCAGTAGCACCACAGGCCCACGGAAGAAGGGGCGAGGCGTGGCCCCCTTGTCCACAAATTGCTAGCGCGGGCGCGGGTCCGGGCCCAGAAGTCCAGGCGGTCGTTTGGCGAGGTGCCGTCTAGGGCCCCGGCGCGCCGCACCAGCCCATACGAGGGCCGCGGGGGACGTGCCCGAAAGCCGGAGCACGCCGCACACGAGAACAAGAAAGGCCGTCTGGACACGCCCAGCGCCGGACGCAAAGCCGGGTCAAACTACCAAAAGCGGCTCCGGGAACGGCCCCGGGAACGGAAAGCGGCCCAGGAAATTGAAAAATGGCCTGGAAAGCGGCTCCAGGAAGCAAAGAAGCGCGGCCCTAGAAGCGCGGCCATGGAAGGGCGGCCCGAAAACGCGGCCCTAGAAGCGCGGCCCTAGAAGCGCGGCCCCAAAAACGCGGCCCCAAACACGGCCCGACTACACGGCTCCGCACGTCTTCTGGATGGCACGCAAACACGGCCTCACCATCTCCGACATCGAGGACGACGAGGACAGACAGCACAGGCGGCGGGCCCGCGCGCGCCGCCCGCCGGCCGTCAGGTTGTCGTTTCTAGACGACGGGCTCGATGCACCCGACGCGCCCGTGATGTTCTCTCAGAAAGTGCGCCACATCGAGAACAAGCGGAAGCATGCCGGCGGCAGTCCCAGCGGGCGGCCGCAGGGGCCGGAGACTGGAGACAGCGGCGAAAACAGCGGCGAAAATGGCGGCGAAAAGGGCGCCGAAAAGGGCACCCAAAGGGGCACCCAAAACGGCACCCAAGACGGCACGCAAAACGGCCCCGACAACGGCCCTGTGGTCGTGCAGTCGGCCGCGCTTCTCGCCGAGACGCTGGTCGAGACCATCCCCGACGTGGCGGCCAAGGCCCGCGTGTTGGCATCACAATACGAGCCGCTCGGGCTCCACCTCTTGTTTGCCAGCGCCGAGGACAACTGCCGCTTCCGCCTCTTTGTGCACGCGGTCGCGTGGGGCCACGCCGGGCTCTGGGCGCGCGACCCGGTCATGAGCGGCGTGTTGCGCCGGGTGCTCCAGGGCCCAGAGGTGCAGGCGGAGCTCGCGGCCCGCGGCGCCCAGGGCCCAGGTGCGGGCCCAGGTGCGGGCCCATACGAACAGGGCGCGGGCGCGCGAGCGGACCCACACAAACAGGGCCAGGGCGAACAGGCCCAGGGCCGGCGGCGCGCCGTCGTGTGGCACGCGCGGCCCGCGGCCGTCCCCGCGCGGATCACGCGGTTGTTGCCGCGGCCCGCACCATGAGCAGCGGCCCCGCGAGCCGGTCGCGCACGTTGGCCGCAAAGCCGCGGTCGTAGACGTTGGGCACGTCCGCCACCAGCAACACGCGGCGCACGGCCGGCGCCGCCGGGTGCTCGGCGAAAAGCACGCGCTGGTCCGCGAGCAGAATAAACACGGCGCCGCCCGCGCCCGGCGCCTCCGCGCGCTCGACAAACACGCCGCGGCCGGGCGCGTGGTAGAGCGCGCCGAGCGCCACCAAGTGCTCGATGTCGCCCCACTTGTCCGCCTCGTTGGTGGTCACGCCCAAGTACATGTACCGCACGTGCAAGCCCGCGAAGGCCGCGAGCACCACCGCGAACACCAGCGCCAACGCCAGCAAAAGCGCGGCCACGCGCGCCGCGTCCACGGGCCCGGTCACCGCGGCCCACCACGCGCCCGGCGCCGCGGCCCACCACCACCACCACGCGCCCGGCGCCGCGGCGCCACGCACCTGGGCCCAGCTCACAGCGCCGCCGTACACCATGACGTTGATGTTGGCGAGCAAGAACGCCACGAACCACCGGTAGTTGTTCTGGCCCACGCAGTTGTTGGCGAAGATGCAGTGGTGGTCGTGCACGTACACGCAGCGGCCGCACGTGGAGCAGTGCTTGGACCGGGCCACCTTGGGGAGCCCGCACGTGCGGCACACGCGGCCCGCAAAGAAAATCAAGCCGTTGTCCGCGTACGCGCGGCGCGCGCGCGCCACGGTGGACGCCAGGACCACGCCGGGGTCCGAGAACGTGAGGAGCGCGGTGGCCGCGGCGAGCGCCGCGAGGGACACGGCCATGTAAAGCGCGTGGCCGCGCGAGTGGCGGACGCCCAGCCGCACGTACACGTGGGCGAAGAACTGGGCCACGCACACGCCCACGGTGGCGGCGTAGAACACGGGCACCGTCCAGCGGAGCGCGGCGTACACGGCGGGGCGGGCCGTGGCGGCGCGGCCGAGCCTGGCGCCGGCCCGCACGAGCACGCGGTGGAGCCTGTGGAGCGGCGTGTTGCGGAGCGCGGGCGAGTCGCCAAACACCAACACCGCCACGAGGAACGCGCCGCCGAGGAGCGCATGGAGAAACACGAGCATGGGGGAAAGGGGGAGAGGGAGATTCTGGTGAAGGGAGTGGGGGGTTTGGAGGAAGTGGGATTTGGAGGAAGTGGGATTTGGGGGATTTGGGATTTGGAGGAAGTGGAATTTGGGGGATTTGGGGGATTTGGTGGCGGTGGTGGCGGTGGTGGAGATGGGGAGGTGGTTGGGCCGCAGAGCTGGGGCCGCGAATAGGGCCGCGAATAGGGCCGCGAATGGGGCCGCGAATGGGGCCGCGAATGGGGCGCGGACGGACTAATGAGAGCATGGCCAAGAGCATGGACAATTGTCAAAGTGGGAACTACGAGAATGAAATAAAAATTGGGGCTCACGGGATTATAACGGGGCCCAGGATAATAAAAGGGGGGCCAGCAGAATAATACGGGGCTTACGGGAAAAAAGTGAAAAATGGGCATCAAGAATGGTGGGCCTGTCCAGACACGGCCAGGCTGGGACGGGTGGTGCGGCCCCGCTCCAGAGGGACTGGGTGCTCACTGCCAGGCGGCCAGGCGGCCAGGGCGACGAGCCGGGCAAGCCGGCCGCAAGTCGCGGCTGCAGTCGCCGCCCGCGGGCTTGGACCTGACTGGCCTGGCCTGGATGGGGTGGTCTTCGCCAGCGTTATTTATTGCGTGTTGCAAACGTGGCACCGTCATTGCCATTATCTATGTCGTTGGTATCGTTGTTTTCATCAATTTTGTTATTGTCATTGTTTTCGTTATTGTCATTATTGTCATTCTAAGTAGGCCTCAACAACCCCAACACCACTAGCACTGTCATAAGCATCTGCACTGTTATGAGCATCTGCACTGTTATGAGCATCGGCACTGTTATTGGCAGATCCTCGCCAGCGTGTCTATTCTGTGTTTTGCAAGCAATGATACCGTCATTGCCATTTGCATTGTCGTTGTCATTATTATTGTTATTATCATTATTGTCATTATTATCATTATTATCAATAATATCAATACTACCATTATTATCATTATATCATTATATCATTATATCATTACCAATTGGCCTCACCAACTTCAGCACCACCACCACCGTTCTTAGGATTAGCACTGTATTGGCAGATCCTCGCCAGCGTGTCTATTCTGTGTTTTACAAGCACCGTCATTGCCATTAGCATTGTCGTTGCTATCATGTTTATTATCATTGTCATTATTATCATTGTCATTATTATCATTGTCATCATTATTAGTATTCCTCACCCCATGAATAGCACTAGCATTTTCAAAACCGTTAGCACTGTTCTTAGCATTGGAATTTATTGGAACTTTTAGGGCACTCCTAGCACTCTCGCTAACATTGACACCACCATTATGACCCTATCATCAACATCACATCATACTCAGAAGCATCATTACTATCATTAGCACCCTCATTCCCATTCCCATTCCCATTACCATTACCATCATGATAAACCCATGTTTGCATAAGTTGGTATAATAAGCCCCTGTAGTTACACTACACCACTGTCACTAATCCGATCGCTAAAACACTTCCATGCATGTAGCCTGATCTCCTGGAACACCATAGCAAACCAAACCTGTCTTATTCATTTAAAGGCGACATACGGGACACCCTCTATACAAAGACACTTCCAGAGAAATTCAGCATCAACCCGAAACTCACCCACCACATTGGCAGGAAGGCGCTTGGGTACCGTCAGTATCAAGCGGATAGGGCCTTATGATTGGAATCAAAATCACGTCACCATCACGCCACCCTCTTAGACAAGGCAGCATGGCAAGAAGCTCGAAACCGGGCGTCATTTTGGTTCTCCCAATGACCGGCAGAAGCAGACCCAATCCGTAACTACAGTGGTATCCCTTCGGGGGGGGGG